TCAGACAAGGATGGCCATAAATTCTTCCATCCCCAGGTCCACCACATACAAACAAAAACTGACTGCATGTAATTTTGTTACACAATTATCTGCCCACACAGACTCATTCAGATATTATGATAACAATGATGATGATGATGATGATGATGATGATGATAATGGCTGATACTTAACCACACTGTGCCATTTACAAAGCACTTTACATAGGCACATAGATTTAGAGATGGAAGATACTCTTTCATTTTACAAATGAAAAAAACTGAATGAGAAAATTAAGTGATTTACCTAGGGTCACTCAGCTCGTATGTGACTAAAGTGGGGTTTGAATCCAGGTCTTGCTGATTCCAAGTTGAGTGTCTTATCTACTGTACCATACTGCCATTCAGAAACGCATTATCTCATTTTATCCTCACAACTCTAAGGTAGGTATTGTATATTGTAGGGTTCTCATTTTACAAATGAGGAAACTGAGGCTGAAAAAGGCTAAGTGGAATGGGCTGCCTCAAGAGAGCTTCACTGATTTTCACTTCAGGCCTTTATGCATTGGCTGGATAGCCATTTGGTGATATTGTAAAGGAGATTCCTGTTTGAGTACAGGTTGGACAAAATGACCCACTGAAGACTCTTCTGATTCTGTAATTCTGTAAGGTTAAGTGATTTGCCACAGGTTAAATGGCAGAGTTAGAAATAGAATCTCAACTAGACGATCTGAGAGTCTTAAATATCCGTGTTTTTTTCTACATTGCTGTCAGTCAAAAAATTCACCAGGAGTTCAGTGTCAGGCTAGGAAAGAGCAGACTAAGAACAGGCCAGTGATCAGGAGCAAGAGAGAAAGGGAAGGAGACTGGACTAAAAGACCTCTAAGATCCTTTCCAACTCTAGAACTCTAAGGAGGAGGGGACAGAGGAGGAAGAGGTAGGTACAGAACAGGGCCTAAAAGTGATTTTCAGTCCCCTGTGGCAACTCATGGGGACAGTTAGGTGGCAAAGTGGATAGAACGCTGGGCCTGGAATCAGGAAGACTCATCTTCCCTGAGTTTAAATTTGGCTTTGCACACTTGCTAGCTGTGTGACCCTGGGCAAGTCACTTAACCCTGTTTGCCTCCGTTTTCTCATCTGTAAAATGAGTTGGAGAAGACAATGGCAAGTCAAACCAAACCATATCTTTGCCAAGAAAGCTCTGCAAGGGGTCATGAAGATTCGGACAAGACTGAAATAACCCAACAACAACAACAATAAAAGGCAGCATGAGGACAGATTGCAGAGATAAGCGAAAGGAACCAAAGAGGAGTATCATCTAAAGCCCCCTAGTCTAGAGGAGCAGTGGCTCAAACGGATTTTTTTTTTTAGGCAATTGGGGCTAAGTGACTTGCCCAGGGTCACACAGCTAGTAAGTGTCAAGTGCTTGGTCTGAGGCCGAATTTGAACTCGGGTCCTCCTGACTCCAGGGCCGGTGCTCTATCCACTGCACCACCTAGCTGCCCCACCTCAAACTGATTTTTACAAAAACCCCAATAAGTCAGAGGTTTTGCTTTCTTCTTTCAGGTAAAATCAAGATCAAATTCAGCACCATCTATATTTTTCTCCCAAAATGAATCCATGTGAAGGTGGCTTTACTCCTACACACTTACATCTTCTGGAATCAAAGGAGGACATAGAATTGGAAGTGTCAGAATTGAAAGACCCCATGGAGGTCATTGAGTCCAAAGCTATTATTTTTGCAGATGGGGAAACTGAGGACCAGAGAAAGAAAGGAAGCTGTCAGTAAAGACAAATCTCCATATTCCTAAATCTACAAAATCTGTCAAGCTCCTCTTTACATTCCCCCAAATGCCTCATAAATATCTTGTCCTGCCTGGAAGGTCATTATAAAAAGAAATGATGAGGAGGGATGAAACATTAAAGCTGACTAAACGTGGAGAAGCAGAGAATAGTTATCCAGCCAGTGGTAATTCACTAACAGGCATATTCATCACTCACATTCCCTTTGGTATGGAAATGTGTTTTCTCCCTTTCATAAATTTGGTATTAACTCCAATGAGTCTGTAAAGAAAGGGATCTCATATTTAGAAGAAAATCTAAATTGGTCTTCTCTGAAATTCCTGCTAATGAACTTAGCTTGCAAAAGGTTCCATCCTGGTGTAACAAAGCCTTGGCCCAAAGCCACAGGACAGAAGATTGCTGTCACTCTCCTGGCCTTTAACTCAATTCAACAAACTTTGGCCAACCAGCCACCTACCATATTGATCACTGGGGTAATAAAAATGAAAAATGGGATAACCCCTACACTTAAGGAGCTTATGGACTAGTGGGGGGTAGGGATGGATAGAACATTTACACAAATAACTATAGGACAGTGTAGAAGAGAGGGTCAATCTTTATGGGGACACAGAACAACTGGTCCAATAAGGAGCTATTTGTAGCACATGTCCTTTAGCAAGGGACCAGAGCACAGGTGATTCACCAGAAGGGGCTAGGGCACAAGCTCATCTTCATGCACGCGCCATAGAATGGAACCCCCTGCCACCACACACACACACACGGTTAGAGCATGTTTTAGTGTATACTCATTCAGAATGGCTTGAGAGATTCCAGGAGGGAGAGAGCTCTCCTTGTTGGGGATATAATGATCAAGAGAGCTCAAATTTCTATGGAGTTTTAAACACATCCCTCATGATAATGTATATAATGTGGCAATGTATGATATAATGTACTACTAATATAGTAATGAAGTAATGTATGTGTAACCCCTTCTCCCTATTGGTACAGGTAGAGTGGGGTGGGGTTGGAGAGAGAGAGAGACAGAGAGACAGACAGAAAGAGAGAGCAAGAGACAGAGAGAAAAGAATATGTATATGTATATATATTATATATGTAGAGAGAGAGAGATCTAGATATACCTACAACTATATCTGAATTCTTACCTATCCTTTAATCACTGAATGGGTGATTTTGGTTTGGGAATGGGTTTGTCTCAGACAAACTGAAACCTGGCAAAGACCTTAGCTAAAAAAGGTCAAGTCTCCCTCTGCCTCTGGGGCCATCACCAGTCGTCCTGACCTATGTCTTGCCACCGGACTCTGAATGACTCTGGAGGAGAGAGTGAGGCTGATGACTATGCACAACCCTATCTCACTTAAATCCAATTCATTTGCAACCTCCCGATGTCATTGGTCAACAACAGTCTATATCTACTTATAGAGAAAGAGAGAGAAGAGAGGAAAATATCTAGATCTATCTATCTAGAGAAAGAGACAGAGAGAGCTTCAGCTTTCATGCAGTCTTCTTTGAGTTTTCTTCAAGTTTCCAGTCACTTCAGGCACTTCTGGCTTCCAGCTTCAAGCGGGAAGTTGGAAGAGGCCAACCTCACTTCAAGTTGCTGAAGAAGAAGATTCTGGGAAGATGTGACAGGAGTTAACATGTCTCTGTTCCCCACGTACTACACCAGAGACTTCAGGGAGTTTCCCCTTGGGTGAGACCGCACTCCGATAGGAGAGCTCCTTCAGTATGTGTTGTCTGGTACGTAGACAGAGAATGAGAGAGCTAAGTGGCTCAGCAAACAGAGCACTGGAGTTAGAGGGAGGAAGAGCTGAGTTTAAATACTGCCTCGAGTGCTCACGAGTTGGGTAACCCAGGGTAGGTCTCAACCTCTCAGTCTTAGTTTTGTCAGCTGCAAAATGGGGATAATATGAGGATCAAATGAGAGAATATAATTTGTTGTTGTTTGGCCTTTCTTTTTTTTATTTTTACTTTATTTTTAGTTTTCAACATTCATTTCCATAAGATTCTGAGTTTTTTATTTCCTCCCTTCCTCCCTCCCCAAGACAGAGTGCAATCTGATATAGGCTCTACATATACATTCATATTAAACATATTTTCACATTAATCATGTTGCAAAGAAGTATTAGAACCAATGGGAGGAACCATGAGAAAGAAGAAACAAAACAAAACAACAAAAGAAAAAAAGAGATCAAATTGTATGCTTTGATCTGCATTCAGACTCCATAGTTCTTTCTCTGGACGTGGATAGCATTTTCCATCATGAGTCTTTTGGAGTTGTCTTAGATCCTTGCATTGCTTGGAAGAGAGAAGTCCAGCAAAGTTAGTCATCAAACAATGTGGTTGCTACTGTATACAATGTACTCCTGGTTCTGCTCACTTCACTCAGCATCAGTTCACACAAGTCTTTCCAGGTTTTTCTGAAGTCAGCCTGCTCATCATTTCTTATAGCACAATAGTATTCCATTACATTCATATACCACAACTCATTCAGCCATTCCCCAATTGATGGGCATCCCCTCAATTTCCAATCCTTTGCCACCACAAAAAGAGCTGCTATAAATATTTTTGTACGTGTGAGTCCTTTTCTCATTCATATGATCCCTTTGGGGTACAGACCTAGAAGTGGTGTTGTTGGGTCAAAGAGTGGCCCTTATTTCCAAAGAGGACCGATGACATCATGATGTTGGGGTCAGGATACAGCGTGTTTGGCTGTGGCTGATCCATCCAATACGAGTTTGGAAGGCTCTACCTACCATAGTTGGGCATGAGTAATCTGTCAGAACATTTGGGATGGAGATGTCTTTGGATCTGTGCAGCTCACAATTCCTTTGTGCTACTTTGAATCTGCTTTGCTCATAGAGCACAACACCTTCTTTGATGCAGACATGCCACTCTAGTGATCCTGTGCCAGTATCTCCCATGTCTTACACTAACGTTCTTCAGAGGGACCTTGTGAGTGTCTTTGTATTGCTTCTTCTGGCCACCATGTGAGTGCCTGCCTTGTTGAAGTTCTCCATAAAGCAGTCTTTTAGGCAAACATACATTTGGCATTTCAGCTATGTGGCCAGTCAATCAGAGTTGCACTGTGTGCAGTAGAGTTTGAATGCTTGACAGTTCAGTTCAAGAAATGACCTCAGTGTCTGGTACTTTATCTTGCCAGGTAATCTTCAAAATCTTCCCAAGACAATTCAAATGGAAGTGATTCAGTTGCCTGGCATGTTGCTGGTAGACTGCCTAGGTTTCACAAGCATATAGCAATGAGGTCAACACAATGACTCTGTAGACCTTCATTTTGGTAGGCAATCTTAATACTTCATCTCTCCTACACCCTTCGGAGCCTCCCAAACACTGAGCTAGCTCTCACAATGCATGCATCAGCCTCATCATCTATGTGTGCATCCCTTGAAAGTATACTGCCAAGGTAAGTGAACTTATCCACAGTATTTAAAATTTCTCCATTTGCTGTAACAGATAATTCCATGGATGGATGGATGCCATGATGGCTAGTGAGGGCCGTCTTGACAAAGTGCTTTGCAAACCTCAAAGTGCTAAATGTATGTGAACTCTCTTTTGTTTTCACATCACCTCCATTTCCCTGTGTATCTTTCCCCATTTCTCTAAGAGAGCCATCCTTTATGACAAAGAATAAGAAAGGGATATGGGTGAGCAAAAGTCCAGACAAACCGACCAATCACATCCAGTGTTCCACCCCACAGTCTCCCACCCATTCTAAGAAGTCAGGGAGGGGCCTTCTCATTGAAGCCCTGCTCAGTCCCTATAATGTCACAGTATTCAGTTTTGATTGTTTTGTTCATGTTGCCCTTTGCCTTTATGTTATTGTCACTGCATACCATGCATTGTTTTCCCTGGTCCTGTTTACCTCACTCTGCATCAATTCACGTCTTCCCACGCTTGTTTGTATTCATGCTTATTGTGTCTTACAAAGCAGTTCTAATATTCCATTACATTCGTGAACCACCACTTGCTTGGCTCCTGCCTAGTCTCTGAGAGTTTGTTTCTAGTTCTTTGCTCTTGTGAAAAGTGCTTCCATGAATATTTTGGTGTAAAAAGGGCCTTTCTTTTTATAATTTCTTCCTTGGGGCACTTGCCTAACAGTGGGATCCTTGGGTCAAAGGGAATGGATGCTTAAATCACTTTCTAAGGATAATTCTAAATCTTTTTTCTACAGTGGGTAGAACAATTTATAGCTCCACCAATCATGTATCAGTGTACCCATCTTTCCAAAACCCTTCCAACATCGACTATTATTTTAGCCACATTTTACAAATGAGGAAACTGAGGCTCAGAAGGGGTGAGGTGATTTGCTAAGGATTGTACAGCTGGCGAGTGTCAAAGATGGGGCTTGGACCCAGGTCTTCTGACTCCAAGTCCTATATTCTTTCCACTAGAACATTTGCTATCCCCTTCTGCCCTACTTCCTCTAACTTCTTTTTTAAGATGTATGGTTTACAGATTCTCCCAGTCACCTAGATTCAGAACTTCCAAGTCACATTTGACTCCACTCTCTCCATCCTCTAATATCTAGTCAGGGGTCAAGTCTCATGGATTCTTCATCTATAGGTGCCATACACATTGGAGTCCTTTACTCTCCACTGTTGCTCCCACCACCATTTCTCTCTCTTTTCTATTTCTCAAAGAAAAAAAAAATCTGAACTTAACACACATCAGAGTCAACATTTCCATATACAAAGTATAACAGAAAATAGAAATGTACCTGAAACCAAAAATCTGCATTGTGCATAGCTTGCTTTTCCTTTCTAGATGCATATTAAAAGTGTCATTTTTAGTTTCTCTATAAATATTTCTCTGGTCTAAAAATCCTTTCCAGACTCATTTCTATTGGAAAATACGTAGGAGAACAAAGGCCTTTCTTAGGGGGATATGGATTAACTGTGGCAAAGAAGTTTCGAACAAAGAGTACCTCTAGTCTTGTTAAAACTATTGCCTTCCAGTCTTTCCCCACTCCCCATCCCAAAGAGAAGTTCCCTCTTTCTCATTCAGAATGATTATTATTATATTGATTACAGGGAAGGAGATCCTTTCAATACCTGATGGGAACGGTCAAGGAAGGAACTTAGTGGTTATTAAGTTAGTCCTTTTTGAGACTTGAAGTAGAATGTTAACACAAACTGTATTTTAACATATTATGACATTTTCTTTGATCAAGATTCCCATAAATATGACCGCAAATTGTCTTGAGGTAGAGAGATATCTGAAGGCATAATGGGACTATGCCATCTGGAACATTTCTTTCTCAGAGCTAGAATATGTTTAGATTTAGAATAATGTTAAATTCTTAAAAATTGTTTCTAGCAGACTTGTGCCTAAAACAATATTTTTTACACCTTTTTAAGAACATAATTAGTTCAATATGTAACTCTCAAATCTGTCCTATTTGTCTGTGCTTCTTTCTGGTTTTCCCTTACATTCACTTCTCTGTGTTAAAAATGTTGCCCTGGTTCTTTTCGCCTTGATTTTTCTTTGGCAACCCTATTGATGGCTTTTTCCTTCACCTTCTCTCCTCATTGGAAAAAGAAAAGGAAAAAATCTATAGCCAGGCAAAATGAATTCTCACTTTGGCTGTGTATAAAAATGTGTGTATCTATATGTTGAGTCCATCACCTCCCTGTTAGGGGCTAGGTAGAATGCTTCATCATTTGTTCTTCAGTCATGTCCGACTCTTCATGACCCCATTTGGGGTTTTCTTGGCAAAGATACTGGAGTGGTTTGCCATTGCCTTCTCCAGCTCATTTGATAGATGAGGAAACAGAAGCAAACAAGATTAAGCAACTTGCTCAAGTTTACACAGCTAGTAAGTGTCTGAGGCTGCATCTGAACTCAGGTCTTCCTGACTTCCAGGCCCAGGGCTCTATCCAATGCGCTATCTAGATGCTCATATAGGCTTTAAGGGTTTCAAAAGTGCCTTGCAATTATTATCTCATTTTTATCTTCAGAACAACCCTGGGATGTAGGTGCTAGTATTAATCCCCTTTGTAGGAAACTGAGACTTAAGGACATTAAATGACTTGTTTAGGGTCATACAGCAAGTATCTGAGAGTAGATTTGAACTCCAGTACTTGATCCAATCACTGTCCCAACATAGCTGCCTCCAGGTAGATTATTCAATAATTTTTTTTCTTTTAACCTTCTGCCTACTCAGCATTTTTTAAAATAAATGTTTTAAACCAAGAAACAAATGTCAATTTTGTTTGCAGAACCAAGTACATAGTGCCCAATAAATATTTATTCGGTGAACAAATGAACCAAACACAAGTTTTTTAAAAACCTTACATTGAATGCTTTAAAATTTAAATTTTAAAGTATATTGAATGCAACATTTCCTTTATTCCACCTGAGTGATTTCCCAGGTGGCTGAAGCCCTACCCTTTTAAAGTTATTTTCAGTTATTATTCAATTATTATTCTATTCCATTATTATTATTATTATTGTTGTTGTTGCATGAAGTGTTCCACACAAATCACAGTCCTCTTAATGCCTCAGTAGCAGGTTAAGTTGCTGTCACCTGGTCCTACCTCCTGGCATGAGGCACTTCTGGTTCACTGAGGCTGGTCCTACCTAGTGAAAGCTGCCATAGCATAAGATTTCAGGACCCAGGATCCCCAATGAGGAAGCACCATAACATCTTCGGTCTAGAGTTGGAAAGGACCTTCAAAGTTATCTAGATCAATCCCCCTCACTTATCAGATGATGAGAGGTTAACTGACTTGCTTAGAATCACATAGCCATAATTGCCTTTTTTTTTTTGAGGCAATCAGGGTTAAGTGACTTATCCAGGGTCACCTAGCTATTAAGTGTCAAGTGTCTGAGGCCAGATTTGAACTTGGGTCCTCCTGACTCCAAGGCCAGAGCTCTATCTACTGCACCACCTAGCTGCCCCAATACAGCCATAATTTAAACAGAGATCCTTTGCGTCTAAATTCAGCAGTAACCTTCCCCCTACACCATGATACAATGAAAGAAAATCCATCTGGACACCAAAATGGTTTCTTGTTTTTGCCATTTTTGATGGAAATCTTTTAAAAATGTATCATGTGCCTTTCTATACAGAGGACCACAGACAAAATTTAGCCTTTCTTTTTGACTTGGGTTCATCATGATTATCAATATGACTGGGGCTGTTTGGATCCACACTTATGGTACCAGATGTTGGGCTCAGCAGGGGTTTTGTGTTTGCCTTCCAGAGTTTTTGCCTACATGCCTGACTGAAGCAGTCATTGAAGACTGGGAAACCAGAAAAAAACCAGGCTTTATAGAATTATGTGCAAAATAAGAATAAATAGAAACTGAGTGAGGTGAGTGTGTCTGTTCATCTCCTTCCTTCTCCTAACTCCAACCCTTCCACTGAGCATGAATGAGCCTTACTTAGTTCATGGATTTTAGAACATAGAGCTGGGAAGCTTAGGGGCCTTTTGCCTCCTATTCTGGTGTTTGAATAAAGAGGCCTCCACATAAGTGAGGCTGTCCTTCAAATCCTGTTGATAATTTAACACTAGCTGCCAGTGTGTTTGGGGAGTTAGTTACACCTCACCAAAGAAGGGGCTTCCAATCTTTTGCCAGGCTACTGGAAATACTACTGTTTGCTAATCCAGATAGTTGACCTGATCACACCCTTGGAGTCACAGACAGACGCGGTAGGGCCACATCTGGTTCAGAATCAAACACATTTATTTCACTTTTATTGAGTACAAGAACAGAGAGCACACACGCATACAGCACGGAGCACTGGCAGGGGAGGGGGCACAAGGGAGCAGGGGTTAGCGAGGGACAAGAAGGAGGCTGTCGCAGTCGATTGGTCAAAGGTGCTTCTGAAAAAATAATTTTTTTATAGTGTCGTTGTTCATGCAATTGCAGGCCAGTCTTGGAATGTGCTTGCAGGATTCGATATTTTTAACAGGCACTGACACTTCCCGCACCCTCAACCTGAAGGGATCCAGAGAAATAAAACAGAAGGCTTCGCAGAATCTTAGAAATGGAGGGGTCTCAGGAGGTCACCAGGTCCATCCCCGCCTCCCCCTCCAATTTTCATGGATGAGGACCTAAGGCACAGAGAGGAAGAAGTTCTTCGCCCAATGTGACACAGTGAGTTGAGGGCAGAGCCAAGAATGGGACCCGGGTCTCCTGACCCTTAGACTTCTCCCCTGCCTCTAAGAGAGAAGAGGAGCAAGGAAGTGGAGGGAGGGAGGAGGAGAGAGAGGCAAAGTCTATGCCTAGTGTCTTCCATGGAGGGGATGGGTGGCCTTGAGCCAATGGCTTTATTTTACAGCTTCACTGCCTCTAAAGGACCTGCTCCTTTGGTTCCCACCTCTTTAAGGAAAGAAAGGGTGGAACTCTCCAGTGAATGGACTCACCCTGTAACTCCCAGTGATCACATGCACCCTAGAGCCCCTCCAGAAAGAGTAATCACTGAACACACATATGGGAGGCTCAGGGCCTGTGGGAGTCTTTAAAACCTGAGACAGGTAGCTTGGGCCGGGGTCATTTCTTGGGAATGGGGTGGTCTGGACCACAAAGGGCTCTTTCACACCTCCTCTCTGTGGGACCTAAGGACTCTTACAGCACTCTGATCTCTTATCTCACCTAGAGTGCTTAAGGATAGAGCAGGTGTAAAGACCTGGGATCTAAAGTAAGCTAAGAAAGGAAGCACACCCAGCACCTCTTGGCTACAGTTGGGAGTAGAAGGAATTTACTCAGACCTGGATAACCCCAAAGGGAAGTGGCCATGGCACTGCCCTGTCTCTCATGCTACTCCTATTTGTCAGGGAGGATGAAGAAGGGGTTCCCATTCAGGCCAGGGTTAATACTCGGTCACCTCTGAGATCTTTACCAGCTCTGAGATTCTGTGAAGATTGGATAAATAGAATTTAAATGTGTTTGGGGAGTGGAATGAGGGGAGATGTTTAAAGTGCAGTGGGGGCATTTCTCCCCTAATGCCCTACCCTGTGGCAGCCCACTTGGAGGGGGTCACCCCGCCCTGGCCCTGACTTCACTGAGCCTCAGCCAGTATCCAATGGAAAGCCTAGACACCAGATAGAATGATGGGTATGGCCCAAGAGGACTGAAGTTCTCCTTCAAAGGCTCCTTGTGGACATTTTAGGGAGCTCCATTGTCCTTGGGCTTGGAGTTCAGATGTAGTGAGGACCAGAATCTCTTCCAGGAAGCCAATGACCTGGGTCTCTTTTTATTCCCAGCTTGAATCATAATAGAATTTGGAGCTTGGAGGGTAGTTAAAGATTTAGTCCAACCTCCTCATTTTATAGATCAGAAAGCTGAGGCCCAGAGAAGTTAAATACATTGTCCAAGGTCACTGAGTCATACTTGGGCTTTGGGAACAAGTCCAAAATTGAGCTTTAAAGTCCTCTACGATCTATGAAGATTCTTGTCCTGGGTCTGGGTCCCCCCAGACCTTGCTGCCACTCTGGCTCATCCTTTGGCACATGAAGAGGAGGGAGACTGTAAATTTTAGGAAGACTGGGAGGTAGGACCAGGACAAGCCCTACCAAGCTCTTAGAATCAGAGCCAACGGCCAGCCACGAATGTGGTCAGGGAGGAAAAGGCAAGTGGCCATTAAAAGGGGGTTCAGACCCCAGCCTATTCCTAGGGAAGGAGTCTGAGGTCCCAGGGTAGGTGAGTAAGCCCAAGCCCTCTTCCTCCATTCCCAAAGCAAAAACCAGGCCTCCCTAGAATTCAGTTAGGCTGGTAGTAGGGGTGAGGTGGGGATGAGGACAAAGAACAGTGAGGTCTTTTGACTGGCACATTCTGGACAACGGCTCTGCTGCCTTCTTGCCAAACCCCTGCCTCTACACCCCAGGACCTGCCCCCTCGCTATCCACCAACCCACCAAAGACGAACACCACACATTGTTTCACGACACCAATCCCTTTGGCCACCGAGACAGAACCTGCACACAGACTCTAGGCCTCTTGGGCGGGGGGGGGGGATTTCAGTGTGATCTAAGAACCTCAGAATATATCAACCAAAGAATTATAATTTAAAAACTTCGGCATCATACTTACCAGCACTGTTCATTTTAATATTTTTCCCTGTTATATATAATATACATAACTTAAAAGCACATCCGTATGAATCCCCCAGATGGGCTGCACCATTGTAGTGAGAAGCCACAGACATGCAGCGTCCACTTTTCCTCTCTTCGGATTTGTCTCTCCAGTATTCTTTGCTTCCAATGATGAGTTGCCTACAATTCCCTGGGCAGCCCTGGGTGAAACACAGGAGGTGAGGGGGCGACAAGGAGAGGAGAGAGGAAGAGAGGGGGGCAGTGGTGGTGAGAGAGTACGTCAAGACTAGCATGAGTTTGGGAGAGGGAGGAGAGAGGGGTATGAATACTAGCCACAGAGCCCAGTGTCAGGCCCAGAAAGAAAGAACTCCTTCCTTTTGCCAGTGGGGATCTTCTTTCCTTCTTTCAGACATTTTTCTTGTTGGAGCTTCTATGACACCTGCTTTGTTGCAAAGCATTTCCCCTCATACACATGGGTGATGAATGTTGGAAAAGAAGGAGCAGATCACACATGAGTCCTCGCGAGATGGGATACGCAGAGCTCGCAGCTTGCTGGGCAGCTGCGATGTCACGAGGGGTCTGGCTTTGATTTCTCTTTATCATGGTAGTATTTTTTTCCTTCAAAATCCCATCAATTTTTTTTTGTCTGCAAAGGCGAACGTAGGTGGGTGGTTGGTTTGCTTTAGCCGTTGGTTTGATTTCTTTCCCCCCAACTTCCATAGCAGTGCAAGGCTGTGTTCTGTTTGCTGTGTGTGTGTGTGTATATATATATATATATATATACTTATATATATCTATACATATATATGCTCTTCCTTTGTAGTCTCTCAGCAGGGACGGAACATTGCAGCTGGGTGGTCTGTGTCTAGTCTCGGAATCCAGTGTGAAGGCCCTCTCCTCAACTGCTCTCCAAGTTGGTTTGAATAGAGATGCCAACTTCTTTGCACAGGGGTCAAGATTCCTGGAAGGCCAGTGTGAGGGGAAAGAGAAGAGAGAGATCAGAGGGGCAAAGAAGAAAAAAAGAAAGAAAAGGAAAGGGAAAGAAAAAAGAGGACAAAATGAGTTAATGATTTATGGCTATTTTCTTGCCACCTTCCCAACTCAGGCCCTCTCCCTCCTGGCTGAGCAAAAAGGCCCGGGTGGCTCATATGCTCCAGTGGTCACTGTTTCCCCGGGATCACAGAGAAGCATTGTACTGGTTCTTAGCTTTGTTTGTGTCATGGATCCCTTTGGTAGCCTGGTAAAGCTGATGGACCACTTCCCAGAATCATGTTTCAGGGAAGGGGAAGAGAATAAGCATTTATACGGCATCTAGTATGTGCCAGGAACTTGTATTCAGTATTTTTACAAATATCATCTCATTTGATTCTCACAACTCCCCTGAGAGATAAGTGAGAAACTGAGGCAAACGGAGGTTAATTTGACTTGCCCAAAGTCACACAGCTAGTAAGTGTCTGAGGCTAGATTTTAAACTCAGGTCTTCCTGATTCCAGGCCTGGTGCTCTATCCACTGTGCTGTCAGTTGTTTTTAGATGCATAGAATAAAATACATAAGATTATGAAAGAAGCCAATTATAGTGAAATACAATTATTGCAATAATTTTTTTTTAAAGTTCATGGATATCAGGTGAAGAATCTACAACAGTAGGTGAAAAAGAATTGAGCTAGAAGTCAAGAACCCTAGCTTTGAATTCCAGCACTAGTGCTTATGTGATCTCATACAAATCTCTTCATCTCTCTTGGCCTCTGTGTGCTCATCTGTAAAATGAGATCCTTCCCTTTGTAAATCCCCTGGTCAAGAGCCTAAGTCACTGGGTGCCCTTGGGCAAGTCAATTTACTTCAGAAGTAAATTGTAAGTAAATTCAGTATATTTCAGGAGTAAATTCAGATACTTCAAAAGGTGCCTCATTTGCAAAACTGGGATAATTATACTTTTGCTACCTACTTTATAGGATTATAGATCCTATGGGAAAGAAGGGACCCTGGAGAAAACACTTAGTCCAACCTCTTCACTCCACACATTGGGAAACTGGTTACGTGCCTTGAGCAAGGACTCGCGAGCAATAAGCATTGGAGGCAGGATTTGAACCCAGGTTCTCTAACTCTAAAGGAAATGCTCTTGAGGAAGATGATTTGCTAACCTTCAGGCATTATAGAAATGTGAATTATATTATCAATATAAACCACTGATCATTATCATCATCATCATTGTCATTATCATCATCACCCTAAAAATGCCAACTGTATTAACAATATAATCAACTACAATCAATCAGCTACAGGATTTGGAGCTAAAAGTGACCTCAGAGATTATCTGGTCCAATCCTTTCTTCTCACAGTGGACAACTGAGACCTATATCACGTTGGACTTTCCCAAGGTCACACATACATCGGCAGAGGTGAGACTAAAATGGGGGCCTCCTGACTCCCTGCTGCCCCACCCTGCTCCTGGTGTCTAACTCCCCATTGGGATCAAAGATTGGCCTCATGTAGAACGTAGCAGCGTGGTATTTATGCTGTAGGTGGTCACCATGCCCCTGCCCTGCTGCTGGCCAGGGGTGTGGGCATGGTAACAGACACTTCCAATGAGGGCAGTGAATTGTATGGCAACCAATCCCTCTGTCTTAATGCACCCAAAGGAAAAAGGGGTAGGAGCATCAGAGGTACTTTTGAAAGGTTTCAGATACTGAGTTTGGAGGGAACAGGTCACCAGCAGGAACCAGTCTCCTTAGTGCTCCCAGGGGTGTCTGGGCAGGTGCCTGTAAGGGAGGATGGGGGAGGGAGGGAGCCAAGACCAACTCTAACATCCAGAGATGGGAGGAGAAGAGAAAGCCTCCCTTTTTCCCAGCAGTAACAGAACTGATTAAGACTATAGGATTGAGAGCCAAGAAGGCTCTTAGAGATCACAGGATCATAGATTTAAAGTTAGAAGGCGAAATTAGAAGTTATCTAGTTCAGCTGTCTCATTTGACAGGTGAGGAACTAAGACTGAGAGGGACCAATTGGCTTGTCCAGGGTCATACGGCAGGTAAGTGTCAGAGGCAGGATTTGAAGGCAGGTTTTCCTTACTCCAAATCTAGTGCTCCATCCACTACACCAGATAGGTCAAATCCATATTCTTGAACCATATTAAAATGTATCTGGGAAGAGTTTAATGAAATAAATAAAAATATAAGCTATCATACTGTTAACTTGTGGTTTTTAAGTCCATGTGCAGCCCCCAGGGATCAGTTTCTATTTGTTTGATACCACTAGGTCATCTAGTTTAAACCTCAACCCCCCCCCCCAACTGTTAGAGGAGGAAACTGAAGCCTGGAAAAGTTAAATGACTTGTCCAAAGTCATACAGGTATTAAGTAGTGAGCTTGGGCTTCTCTGATGACCATTGCCCCAGTGTTCTTTCCATTGCCCTTTGATCCTTTTTTTTTTTTTTTTGCTTTTTGGTGAGGCAATCAGGGTTAAGTGACTTGCCCATTTTGAACTCAGGTCCTCCTGACTCCACTGGGGCCAGAGCTCTATCCATTGTGCCACCTAGCTGTCCTGTCTTTTGATCCTTCTCTAAAAATGACTTATGATTCTAGCCTCCCCCAATCATGAAGGATTATGAACAAACAACAACATGCATCCCATGAGCTCTTTAGGTTGGGAGGTGATTTTTGCATTGGGGGGGGCAGGGCAGTGCCAGGGGCTGGGATAAAGAATAAAGGGAATAAAGTGTCTGCTCCTGAAGGGCATTGCTGCTAGAAAGTGGGCTCTAAAAGAGAAAGATGGCACAGTGTGGGGTGATGAAAGCATTAAAGAAGGTAGATGACAGAGCCCAAGGAGGAGGAGAAGAAAAGACAGGTTTGGATGCCAAAGTAGGAGCAGAGGCAGCTACAAGTAAAAGCCACTGTCACAGCTCTACAGGTGGGAGCAGCAGGGGTGGGAGGATGCCAGAATAAGAAGCCTTGCTGGAAAGAACTTGTACACGTGTTTGCTGGGGGGGGGGGGGGGGGGGGGAGCTGCGAATAGAACAGACAAAGGAGAGTAGCGGCAGGGGGATGTTAGATGGAGGAGACACAGCAGAAAGGATACTTCAGAGGTGGAAGACGAATGATTGCAGACCAGGACTCAGAGCTGGAAAAGACCTTAGAAGTCATCAAGTCCAGTTCTCATTTTACAGATGAGGAAACTGAGGCACAGGACTTGCCTAGATGAGTGAATAGCAGAGCTGGGACCAGAATCTAGGATACCTCCCGGTCTAGTTTTTCTTCTTCTTCCTCTTTCCCTTCCCTTTCCTTTTTGTGTCTGAAAATGTATGTCTGATTCTATACCCGTAAAGACTCTTTTCTATGTTCCTCAACATGCTGCTCCCCAGTCCAGGAAGCCTATCCAGGGGAAGAAAAACTTGAGTGAGGTTGTAAAGGTCGGAAGGATTAATAGCAGGCAAATTCCCCAGGGCTGAGGGCATCCATGCATCCCAGGATACAGGATACCTGTGATCTCCCCCTGTGCATGGGACAGCTAGGTGGTGCAGTGGATAGAATGCCGGGACAGAAGTCAGGAAGACTCATCTTCCCGAGTTCAAATCTGGCCTCACACACTTATTAGGTATATGACCTTGGGTCATACTTAACCCTGTTTGCCTCAGTTTCCTCATCTGTAAAATGAACTGGAACAGGAAATGGCAAACCAACCCAGTATATCTGCCAAGAAAAGCTCAAAATGGGGTCCCAGAGAGTGGGACACAACTGAACAACAACAACAAATGTGTGCATGAGTAATTGGGGGTCAGAGGAAGAGTCCTATGGAGGGCCTTTCCATGGCGTTCATTACCTGTGGCTTCTTGTCCCTTTCTTCGGGAGATGGGTCTGTTTCTCTGTATACAACGGCTTTGGTTACCAGCATGTCTGGGTGTTGCAGTTTGGCTTCCTTGATGGCCAAAGCCAATGCCTGGGACACAAAGATAGGACACTGTATGATACGAACAACCTCTAATTTGAACCCAGAGACCCAGACCCCAGGGTGCACAGGGGGAGGGGGAGGAGAGGAGAAGGGTATATCCCTAAATGAACCCAATCCACTGAAGCCAGGGTTGAGATTTAGGGACTGGGGCACAAGCCTTCGAGGTGGAAGCCAGGTCAACAACCAAACCCAAAGACTTCAGTCCACAGGGACTTTTCTATGCTAATTAGATTTGGAGCTGCCTGAGGGCAGGGACCACCACATCCCCTCCCCTCAACCAGGCCAAAGCCCGGCAAGGGGCTCTGCCCTGCAGGTACCAACTAAATGACAATTCGGTATTTTATTGAACCATATGTCTTATTTCCCCAGGGGATGAAAGAGCTTTGGGAGAAAAAAAGACTAGAGATGTGCTGGAGCCAGCTTGAACTGGTTTTGGAAAGCTGATTGTTAAATTTTCAATGTGAATGTTTACACGCTAGAAATTGACAAGTGCTACAAATAGGGGTTGCTTTATTATTGTGTTGATTGGCTAGACTTTAAAAAAGCCATGGAGAAAATGTTAATAATGCAGATTAAACTTTAAAAGCGTGTTGTATACATCTCTCTCTCTCTCTCTCACACACACACACACACACACATACACACACAGAGCTGGTTGTTAAACATTTACCAGCACACCTCTAGAAAAGACAAAGGCTTGGTAATGCTTCTTAGTTTTGCCTACAAGACCTAAGCCTATTTCTGATGACTTAATGAGCTCCATATACAAAGACCAGATGCTTGGTGAGTTCTTCTCTTCATGATTCGGGATTTGCTTTGAAGGAAGTGTAGGGTACCTTGTGAGTTCTTTTAGTGGGGAAAATGACTTGGTATTTTTGCTCAAATTCCAGGTAAGTTACTTCCTGACACTGGAAACGGATCTCAGGATCATTAAATTTAGAACTAGAAAGGACAAGGGACCCCTCTTTTTGCTGAGAAGGAAATTAGCCTGGAGAGCGGAAAGAATTTATTTCAGGTCACACATAAGATCAGTAGGAAAGCTAAGATCTGAATCCAGTTCACTGGCCTCTCAGGCCAGGGATCTTTCTATTAAGCCATTTTAGATTCCTAGTCACTGCTTCTCGGGGATTCAAGGCCAGGTCACCAGATAAAGGGCGGACATGAGAGGTGAGCAGGGTAGAAGATGAGTGATGAATACCACTAACACTGTCAGTCACAGTGGTAACAGGTCCATGGCTCGTGAAAGGTAGATCTCAGCTTTGTATTGAATTTTCACCCTTCTGACTCCCTGTTCCCAAATTAGAGCTTAGAACACTAGGAAATGGACTCATTCCCCACCCCACACCCATCCTGTTCTCTAGCCTGGCCAGATGTCCTGTGATCAAGGTGCAGGGTTCTAGGTAGAACAATGGCATACCTGGTCTTGATCTACGTCTTCATCTCCCGTGATGATGATGCGTTTCTCTATCCTGGTCTCAGAAAATCCTCCTTTCACAGTCTGAAGGGAGACATAGAAAAAGTTAGAAACTGTCTTATCCAATCAACACCTTCATTCACAGGTCAGAAGGTTAAGTCCCACACTGGGGAAGGTACTTAGCCAGAGCAAGTGGAAGAGATGAGATGTGAACCCAGGGATATTTCTAAATTTTAGCTTACTGGCACACCACGGAAGTCTGTCCATGATCACTGGGAAGTCTGTCCATGATCACTGCAAATCTATCTATGGCCCTAAACACCCTCCTCTTTCATGCCGCAGGGCCAGGCAAAGGCATATTTGCCCAGTTCAGGGGTTGGGGAACCTGTGGCCTTGGGGCCACATATAGGTTCCCCCCAACTGTAGTTACTCAAAACCTGAGAAACATGTTTGGTTCTTTTTCCTCAATTTGTTTCCTCCTGCAGTTTGTTCTTCATTAAATCTGATCAGACACACTGAATCCTAAAAAATCTTTCTTTCAAATGTTTTTCAGGTTTGTCCCTCTCTATCCCTAGCACAATGCCTTTCTCCATTGGGCCTGCCATGTTTAGTGTCCTTCAATATCCCAGACAAACTGATCCCCCTCTTTGTTCAGTCATTTCATTCCTGTCTGTATATGAGTGACCCCATTTGGAGTTTTCTTGGCAAAAATGCTGGAGTATCTATTTCCTTCTTAGCATTTCCTTCTCCAGCTCATTTTACAGATGAGGAAACTGAGGCAAACAAGTTTAAGTGACTTGCCCAAGGTCACATAGCTATTACATATTTGAGGCTGCATTTGAACTCATCTTCTTGATGCCAGGCCTAGCGCTTTAACCACTGTGCAACCTAGCCATCCCAACCCCCTAGAGCAGTGCTTCTATTACCAAAATAAGATGGGGCCCTCTCTCACTTGGCTCTAGCTTTCCTAGCCAACTTTCTTTCCAAAAGCACCCTAGCATAACCCCTCTGTTCCAATCTGGCTAGGGCCTTCAATGCTCTGCAATATGTACATTTATTCCTACTTATACAGCCTTACTCAACTCATGCTGGTTCTCCTCTCCCCCTACCCAGAATGCTTTCCCAGATGCCTACCACCTATGTAAATCCTACTCATATTTCAAGACCAGCTGAAGTCCAGCTTCCTGCTTAAAACCTTCCACCAGTCTCCCTGTCTTCTAAACTCCTAGCAAAAGCAACAAGAGTAAATATTTACACAGCAATTAGGGTCTGCAGCTTTCCTCCCAGCCCTATGAGATAGGTTAAGTGTACAAGGATCATTACCAGAGGATTTGCTGCCAGAAAGGATCTCCCCACCTTTTTATTTGGGGGCTCAGAGTGGTTGTGACTTGCCCATGATCAAAAAGTTAGGATTTGAACCCAGATGTCCCAACTCCTCGACCTCTTCCCACTATCCCAAACTGCCTCTCATCACATTTTTCCAGCCTGCAGAGTCAGTATTCAGCTGTGCCTTTAAGTACACAAAATTTTGTAGTTTGTTCTCATTTCAGGCGACTTTTAACCTCTTTTGCTAAATAGCAAATACCTTAGAGAGAAGGACCATGTATGTCTTGTATTTCTTTTTTAATTTAATTTTGTTACATTTTAAGTTGTGAACTCTCTCCCTCCCTTCCCACCCCACACTAGAGAAGGCTACTACTTGACACAGATACACACGCGTATACACACACACACATACACACACATACACGTGTGTATAAAATATAACAAAATTAAATAAAAAAAAAGAAAATATAAGACCTGTATGGTCCTTCTCTGTAAGGTATGGAAAACACACTATGCATAATTCTATTTATCAGTTCTTTCTCTGGAGATGGACAGCATCTTCTTTCCTAGGTCCTCTGTAGTAGATTTGAGTATTTATAATACTCAGAATAACTTAGTTGTTCACAGTTATTCTCTGAACAATATTGGTACATGTCTTATATTTTTTTAGTCTTCCCTAACACAGTTAGCATAGAACCCAGCTCATAGTAGGAACAAAAAAATATTTCTTTTTGATCTGTAATAACTCTGAGAGAGAAACGTTAGGACTAGGATTATTTTCTCTATTGTAGAGGTGAAGAAACTGAATCTAGTCTAGCGCCTCCCACGTGGCCCTCCAGTCCCATCTAGTCTAATCTAGTCCAGCACCTGCCTCCCACATGGCCCTCTAGACCCTTCTAGCCCAATCTAGTCCAGCACCTGCCTCCCACATGGCCCTCTAGACCCTTCTAGCCCAATCTAGTCTAGCGCCTCCCACATGGCCCTCTAGTCCCATTCGGCTCAATTTAGTCCAGCATCTCAGATCATTTCTAATTTTGCCCATAAAGGAGAAGGGACTTGCCCAAGGTCATAAGGAGAGCTTGGGGCAGATCTTGGCCCAGGATCTTTACTGGCTTTCCCCAGGAGACCTAGGATCATAGATCTAGAGTTGGAAGGTTCCTTAGAGAACATCTAGGCCAAGGTCCTCATTTTACAGATGAGGAAACCAGGGAGGTTACACAGGTAATGGGTAGCAGAGCCAGGGTTCAAACCCAGGTCTCTGATTTAAAATCAAGCATTCTTTCTACTGCACCACACTGTCTCAAGGGCCATAGAGCTGGGCTCATAGAAAGCCTCTGTATGCCACAGATACCCTCCCCCATCTCCTAAATGGTACTTACTTTGGTAACATGGGTGGTAGTGGAAGTAGACAGGGTTTCTGCGGTGGCCCCATAGGCACCAGCGAAGACATCTTTCCCGATGATCTGCAGGGGACACAAGCCCACCCCATTCCCAGGCATTAAACGGAGGAGGCATGGCCTCCCACAAGGATGCTAGGGAAGAGTGTGGGGGGTCGGGATTGGGGGACAAGCAATCTTTGCAATTCAAGGTTAGTGCTATGGCACACACTTTGAGAATCATTGGTTTAAGTTAAAAAACAAAAGAGAGAGCCCTGAGGCGTCTCTTACCCCCCCCCGAGCCTAACCAGGAGGAAGGACAAAGAGAGAAGAATGAGGTGAATGATGCCCTCTCCTCACTAGGGTTGGTCACCAACCCTCTCTCCAGCCACAGGCTTGCTGAAAACTCCAGCATCCTAGAATCTTAGAACAGGAAAGGTATCTTCAAGATCACCAACTACAATGCTTTATTTCAGGGGTCAGAAAACAGGTGCATAGAAGTCGTTTGACCTATTCAGGGGGTGATACTAGAGCCAAGGTCTCCTGGCTCTGAGTTTAGAACTTTTCTGAAACACACCACATAGAAAGAGGTTCATCTTGCTGCCTTGGACATTCCATGGAGGCATGGAGCCATGAAGGCAGTGGCAGCCCTGACCTGGAGGGCTGTGCTTGGATCTGGGGCCCGATTTCAGGAAGGGTCACGTCCAAAGGAGGACAACTGGAATAAGCCAAAAGACCTGAGATCATGCCATAAGATGAACAGTTAACAGCACTAGGAATGTTGAGCCTGGAAAAGAGAAGACCAGGGGTGGGAAGGAGAATAGAGAGGGTGAGAAGAACCACTTTCTTCAAGTTTTTGAAAGTCCAGCTAGAGGAGAAATTATATTTGTTCTACCTGGCCCTAAAGGCAATGGATGGAAATTATACAGAGGTATACATTTTGCCTTAATAATAAAAAAAAATTCCTAATGGATGCATAGGGAACTTGAATGATCTCAACTCCAGGAATGGCTCTAATAACTGGAACTGGTGGTTCACTCCACTCCCCCAGCCTCTAGGCTTTTGGCGACCATGGAACTGGATGGAGGATGGATCACTTACCGGAGAAAGAGAACGGATTTCTGTTGCCACCGTCTGCGGGCCTGGAATCATGGCTGCTGCTCCCTTCCCAGACTTCAGACTGTTCTCCTTGAGAAATAACAACAGTTAGATCTCAAGGGCTTGCCAGGCTCAAGGCGAGAGTGGGCAGGCACCCAGAACCCTCCCCCATGTACACTGGTGTACTTTAGTGTAAGAACACTCCCACAGCCACAGAGTTTCTCATTAATTACTAATTAACAAATAATTAATGAGTAGCAGTGGTATTTTTGAATCTCCAGGTAAGCGATACAGTCACTCATTCATCATTCGACAAGCATTTATTAATCGCCAGTGACGTGCCTGGCACTGTGCTAAATGCTGGGGATAAAAGGAGATTACACTCTACTGGAGGAACATTTAAGACCGACAAATCAAAGCAAAATATGTACAAACTAAATGGAGAGTAATTTGGAATAGTGACCTGAGTTCTAGGGTCCTGACTCTGTTTCTAACTCGTGAAGTAAGCCTCTTTGGCAAGTTATTTCTCCCCTCTGAACGCCCCACCTTCCCAGGCTATTATATGAGAAGGTTGGACTCAGTGGATTCTGTGATTCCTTCTGGTTCTATAATCCTTCGCATCTAAGCTGGAGGGGCAACAGTATCTTTGAAAGCCCCTCTTTCCAGGCAGGATTTCCCTTACGACATCCAGCAGTCCAGCTTTAACTTGAACATTAACAGTGCTGACAAGCTCACTGCCTTTCAAGGTAGCCCATTCCATCGTTGAATAGTTCTGATTTTTCAGTTCTAATATTTCCTTGTGTTGAACTATAGTCTCTTTCCCTTTAACTTCAATACAATGGACCTTCTGGGGGCAAGTGGAACAAAAGCCAAGTAGCTGGGGAGAAGTGTGGGGAAGAAAATCGTTTGAATCTCCTTATGTTATAAAGGAATTAGGAATTCCAAACCAGGAATTAGGTTGAATTAAATTGCCTTTTTTTTTCTCTGCAACTTGTGTGTAGGAGAAAGCAGCAAATAACAAGAAAACAAGGACTTACTTTAAAAATTAAAAAGAAATACAAAAATTTTCCAAGGGATAAAAACCAGACTTGATATATGTTTGCCCCAGTAATCTACAGTTTCTCCATCCCCATTCCTGGATCTTCATTCCTGGATCACCGATGTTCAGAATTGCTTATACATAAAGAGAACCTTTAACTTTTTAAAGCAATTCTTCATCTTGATTCCTAAATTCCCTGTGAGGCAGCCAGAGCAGGGATTACTACCAGAGGGGACTGATAAATGGACATAAGGCTCAGAGGGAAGTGCCCTAACCCAAGTTCATACAACAAGCTAGAGGCTGAGCTCATATCTCTGCATTTGTAATACAGAGCTCTTTCTACTCTTCTTTGGCAATTGTTGGGAAGGAGGTACCCATGATTTTGAATAATAATAAGAATAGTTTCATAGTTATAGAGCTAGCTGCTAGGCGGTGCAGGAGATAGAGTGTCAGGCCAAGGGTCAGAAAGACCTGAGTTCAAACCTGGTCTCCTGTTTGCCTCAGTTTCCTCATCTGTAAAATGAGCTGGAGAAGGAAATGGCAAACCACTCTAGCATCTTTGCCAAGAAAACCCCAAACGGGGTCACGGAAGAGTCAAACATGACTGAAATGACTGAACCACAGCTATAGAGCTAGAAGAGATGTCAGAGGCCGTATAGTACAAACTCTTTATTTTACAGATAAGGAAGCTGTGACTCAGCGGGGTTGTGACTTGTCCAAGGTTTTTGGTTGTATCATTCTTATTAAGCATGGTGGAACTGTGGTCTTTTTCTATCACGCTGTGCTTTCTGAGGCCCAAATCAAAGACCCCTCCTGGAGCCTGAATTTTACTGACCAAGTTGGGATCCTAGGATTTAGGAAGGGGCCCGAGAGCACAGAAAACAATGCCAGATCTGGCAGGAAACAGAAAGATGGCCTAGTCTAACCCACTTACTTTAAAGAAGATGAAAATCAGGTGGGAAGGAGGGAAAGGAAAGGAGTTGGCCCAAGGTCACCTAGGTGACCTGTAGAATGTAAATGCAGACACTGTCAGGAGGTAGCCTGCTGGGTGGCCTCCCTGCCACAAATCTCGCCCCCATCCATTCTTCCCTCCACCCAGCTGTCAGTCATCTTCCTCAAGCTCCGTTCCAACCATGTCACCCTTTACTCAATCACTCCAGTGGTTCCCTATCCACCTCTAGGATTAAATATAAAATCCTCTGTTTGGCATTTAAAGTCCTTTGTAACTTGGCCCTTCTCCAACCTTTCCAATCTTTTTATACCTTATGCTTTCCCACCCTAGCCCTGCTACATATTCTGCAACCTGGTGACCTTGGCCTCCTCGCTGTTCCTTGAACAAGAAATCCCAGCTCCCAGCTCCAGGTATGTTCACTGATTGTTCCCTGGATGCCTGGATCTCTCCCTCCTCATCTCTGCTTCCTGGCTTCTTTCAAGTCCTAGCTAAAATCCCACTTTTTACATGACACCTTTTCTAATACCCCTTTATTCTAATGCCCTCCCTCTGTTGATTATTTCAAGCTATGCTGTAATGTAGTTTGTTTGTACATAGCTGTTTGCATGGTGTCTCCCCCACTAATCTGGGGGCTTCTTTGGATTACCAGTGCTTAGCACAGAGCCTGACACATAGTAGGCCCTTAAATGTTTACCGACTGCCTGACTGACTACAACAATAAGGACTCAAACAGATGTTCCTGATTAAACTTTAGTTGCACAGAAAAAACTGGTCTGTCAGAAGGGTCCAATCTCCAGGCATCTTGGCTGGTCAGAATGTGCCCTCTCCTTCTACCCATAAGACAGATGCTCTTGGGATACCTGAGGCCCAGAGCCATGCATCTGCCAAAGCTCAACTCATTTCTCAAGGTTTGACCACGTGCCTTGTTTTTAGTACTGTGAGGGGGAAATCAAAGAGAGGGAATTGAGAGGCACATTTCCAGCATTGCCTGTCACCTCCCCACCTTCGCCCCCACTGGAGACAGCCAGACAGGGCTACATCAGCTTACCATGGTAATGCAGGTGGTTTCCGTGGTGACAGAGTGGGAAGCTGATATCATCTCTTTCCCCCCAGTTGTGCCCCCATCCACCTGCTGACAAGAGGGAAGTTTAGGGGATACTGTGAGGTGACTGGAAATACAGACATGAACACAGACCTCATGATGAAATCACAGGAGGTCAAGAGCTGGGAAAGGGATCCCCCACTCCCTTGGTTTTACTGTCATTGGGGCAAGCCAGTTTTACTGGCATTACTTGAGAGACTTCCCAAGAGCAGGGGCCAGGATGAGGAGCAGGGGGAAAGGCGGGTCACCTGGGCTGTTTCCATGGTACTGACTCTAGCCTGCAATACGGCCTCAGGCTCAATCTTCTTTCTGATCGCCATGCTGCTGACAGTCATTGTCTCAGTCTTCACAGGCTAAGGGGTAAAAGGGATGGGGGGTAACTTTCAGCAATCGACCCAGAATGGGGCTCCTCAGCCCGCTGGTGGTTGTGGGACTCGGTCAGAGCTTCACTGGCCTCCAGGAGGTAGCAGTCTGGAAAGCCAGCCCACCCTGGGAGACGACCCACTTCTCCCTCATCCCCAGACAAAGCATGAGTTTAAGGAGGAGGGATGCCATCCTAGTTGTGGCCTGAAGGGCGCATGGAGTCATGCTTGTCATAACACACTATGAATCAGAATGGGCCATACATAAAGGGGATGAGAGGAGGTGACAATAGCAGTAACAGCAAATAAAAACACATCACAATCACATCGTGTTTTTTCATGCACAGGAACACACATGAAAGGATGCAAAGTGAACTAGAATATGATGCACACAATGACATAAACGGGAAGCACGACCACAATACAATCAAAACAGAATGCTATGAAATCATCATGACCAAGCCTGGCCCTGAAGAAGAGATAGAGAATGCACCTCCCACCCTTCTTTGTAGAGGTGGGGGTCTATGGGTGTAGAACATTACATATAGAATCAGGCTTGTTTGATATGCTGATTAGTTCTCCGGTGTTCCTTCCTTACCTCCTTAAAAAAAAAAAAGGATGATTCTTCAGGAAAAGGAAGAGGGAAGGATATAGCAGGAAATGTAGGCAATATAAAAGCAAGAGGTAGCAATTAAGTTGGTTTTTTTTTAATTCATTTACCAGGTATTTCCTTTATAATAACCCCATGAGAAAGAAAGGGTAGGCATCATTTCAATTTAACAGATGTTGAAAATGAGGTTCAAAAAAGCTATGCCTCACTTCCATAGCTAAGAAGTATCTAAGTCAGGACCAGAAACCAGGTCTCCTAACACCCCACTGATTCCCCAAGGGCTTGGTGGGAGACAGTAAAAACAGGGTCCAGAGACAAAGCTGTCCTGGGTACTGTAGACTGCAGGTCAGAATGTCTCAGAATCTCAGAGCCAACAGTTCCAAGAAACCCTTTGGGCCAATGTCCTCCTTATAACTGAGGTCCAAGGAAGTGATGGCAGCTCAGAAATCTTGTGAAGGATACAAGGGGGCCAAAGGCCTTAGACCAGAGCCTCAGCTCTGCTACTTACTACTTGTGTGATCTTCCGTGGGCCTCCAGCTTCTATAAAATGAAGAGCTCGGACCAGATTTCTAAGTTTCTTTCCTGCTTTAAATCTATGATCTTTGTCAGAGGATCACCAATGGCAAGGCCAGGGCTAGAAGCCAGATCCTCCTGACTTCTCTCACCTCCACACCCCATTCAGGGCTCTGTCTGCACTGTACCATCTCCTACATTTCTTGCAAGATCCATTTTAAGCTGCTGGAGCTCAGAAGGAGCTTGGAGATCATTTACTCCAGTTTTCCCCCTTGGGTAAATCCTGGGATCACAGATTTAGAGTTGCAAGAGACCTTAAATAATAATGATCATAATATTATATCTAGAATTTATAGAACATTCTGTTTTTCAGAGTACATTACAAATATTATCTCATTTTATTCTCACAATAACCCTGGGAGGTAGGTGCTATTATTATTCCTATTTTAGAGATGAAACTGAGACAGACAGAGGCTAAGTGACTTGCCCAGGATCACACAGCTAGTAAGCATCCGAGGCAACATTTGAACTCAGGTCTTCTTGACTCTAAGCCCAATGTTCTATCGACTAGAGGTCAACTTGTCCAAACAAGTCATTCATTTTACAGTGGAGGGGAAATTGAGGGCCCTAGAAGGAAAAGTATCTGTCCAAGGTCTCCCTGTCTAGTGCTTTCTCCCTAGCTCCACTCTGTCCTAAGTCTCCTCTGCATATCATTAGCCAGGATACTCCTAAATCCTAAAACTGCACCCCACCCCTAAATTCCCCCATCCCATGCTAAAGCTCTTTCCTTTCCAAAACATGCCTTCTACCAATGGGCTTAAATACCAAAGTTAGAGGGAGGGCTGCACAAGTCCGGGAACCCAAGAAAGCTAGAGGCTGGAGAATCACCACTGGGTTTCTCAGCCACCTCTTCTATGAAGCCTACCCTGACTAACCCTGCCCTCCACACACTGTTATTTTGTCTTCCTGTACTTCATCTGTACAGAGACAAATCATTCTCAATTACCTTGAAACCTTCCCAGGCTATTTCCTGGCTCATCTCCCCAACTAGACCATGAGCTCTTCCTCTATTACCCTTCAGAACCCAGTTTAATAATGAGCCGACAGTAGCTACTCATCCGCACTAGCTAACAGAGAAATAATTACAGATAGTGCAACCCAGGAGAGAAAGCAAAGACCAGCCTATTCAGATCCTTTCCAGCACCTCCTTCCCATCACCCCCATAGCCAACTTGCCTACTCTCCTATTCTTGTCTAGAAGTAATAATATCTCATCCATTGACACTGTGCTTTATCATTATAAAACACCTTATGTATACTGTCCCCATTCCATGACAGAGGAAGAGCAGGGGGAGGGGGCCAGGGAGGCAGACCTCTGATTTCATAGGCAGAGAGACTTCTCTCCAACACCATAGATCAGCAGCTCCTTGGTAACATCATCCTGAAGGGCAGCCCGGGACACCAAGAAGTTGTGATGTGCCCATTGCCTCACAGTAAACATGTTAGAGAAAGTACTTGAACCCAGATCTTCCTGACTCCAAAGTCAGCCTTCTTCCCAATGATGCCACGCCTCCTCTCCTCATTTTATAGAGGAAATAGAGACTCAGAAAAGTTCAGTGATTTGCCCAAGGTCACACTGCTTCTAATTGTCAGAGAGGGAGCTAGTCTGAACTTAGGTCCTTCGATGCCAAGCCCAGGGCTTAGTTTTACTACACTATGTCATCCACTTTCTTTTCCCCAGACCCTTATCCACGAGCTGAAAACAGTCCATTCTCCAGGAAGCCTCTGCTTGTCATGCTTTCTCCAGCCCAGGGACCATGACGCTTGGACATGGTCTAAGAAGCGATCAAGCTCTTGCAACAGGCATGCTGGCTGATGACTATCACGCCCAGCAGAGAGTAGAGCCTTGGTGGATAAACCCCTAGACACCCGCCACTCCCCACCAGCCATCCAGCCATGCTCAGACCTGTGTTGTCAAGACTAACGCAACGTTAACGTGGCATTCTCAACAAGCCTTTGACTCAGCAAACATGCTAACACGAACTCATGCAGTGGAGGGGGTGGGGAACAGTCGTGCAACACAAGGCAATGCCCCAAGAGGAGGAGGCAACTCTGGGCTGTCCAGCCATCTCCACAGTGGCCCCAGGGCCTAGGGAACATGCAGTACACCAAGACAGGGGTCACAGTGAGAGACAATGAGAGGACTCATGATGGACATGGATGCTTATGGCTCCCACCATACCTCAAAGTGGGGCATGTCAGAGGCGGGGTAGATCCCTCGTTCTGAGGCTTCACTCACTGCCTTAGACTCTTCATCCTGGATGGGGGCTGCCTTGTCAAGGTCTCGTGGGAATACTGGCCCCTCGGCCTCCGAGTCACTCCGATCTCGGTCAAGTTCAGGCAGACTACGGGAGAAGTCCTCAAAGGCAGTCCCATGGTAGTCACCAATCACCGTGAAGTCCACCTCTGCCTCCAGACTGGATGTGGAGCTGACGGTGATGCTGGAACACTTGCGTTCGATGGCTAGGTGGTTGTCTTTCAGGAAGACTGAGTCCCGCTCCTGGTCCTGGTCCTCATCTCCTGGGTCGCTCTCTGGGGCCTTAGGACGTGGGGGTTTGACTTTCTCTTCTGAGCCCTCCCTCAGCCCCGCTCTCTAAACACCAGGTGAAAGCCAAGGAACACAGAGGAGAGACAAAAGTCAAGAGGGTGAATGTCAGAGCACATGTGAATGTCCAAAAGATGGAGGTTGGCAGTAGGGAAAGAATCATCCCAAGAAAGTGTCATTGAAAACACAACACAAGCCAAGAAAACCATAACCTTCCCAAGAGCTCCATGGAGGGGCTGCAAAGTCCTACTCAGGCATTTAAGGCAGAAGCAAGTAAAAAGCAAACAGCCCAGCCTGTACGTCCACCCTGGACGAGAGGCCCCATCCAAGGTTTGGCTCTTGGAGCTCATTAAAAGCGGCTTTGAGCGAGGGACACGGATGGCAGATCAGATGCCGGGCCCTGACATGAATTAAGTCCAGTGTTGCAAAACGGCAAAGGAGTCCACAGGGAGGGAGGAGGCAAGGAGGCTGGAGCCAGCTCTGAATAACAGAGAGGAAGCAAATTTGACTTGTCAATTCCACTGGGCCCATTGGAGAGCATGGGATGCTATTACCTACCATGCTCTAACCTACAATTTCTTTAACCTCCTCCTTCTCCTTGGGGCAGGAACCCTCATTTTCTACTCTAGGCATGAAGCAAAACGAAGCTGGGTACCTTTAGCTGAGAGCCACAAGGAGAATGAGGTGCATTGCCAAGCTCAACCCTCAGCCCCCTTGGAGGGTGGAGACCACGGGCCATCAGTGTAATTGACAAGCACAGTGGGGAAAGAGGCCCCTCCTATCTGTCATACATACCTCTCAACTGGCCCAACCCATTAGAGGCTAACGTCTATACAAACAGTTCTACCTGCTTCATTTCCTTCTATTCCAAGTCTGTTTTTAGAGAATAAAAACAGCAACAAAACATTTCTGGTTGATTTGGTCTTGGCCATTTGGAACTTCCAAATTCAGCCCAAAGGAACAGTCTCTTCAGAGATTGAGGTTCTCAAGACCACCCTGCAAATGGGGCTGGATGGACCAACTGAGTCCCTGTCTATGAAGTTTCTGCGAGGTTGAGAGGTATGAGAGATCTGATTCCAAGCTGGAGACAGGCAGACAGGAGCAGGGGAGCCTAGGCTAAAGCATGTCTAGTTGTGGCCCAGTAAAGGGGGTGGGCGAGCGGGCGGGCAGAGCGAGGATGAATGGCAGAGACCTGGGCAGCCTGGGGCCCAGCTGAACGGCTCTTCTCCTTTGGAACAACTTTAGCTGCTGAGCCTGACAAGTCCTTCTCTTCCCGAGCTGGTTCCCGAGTTTTGCTCTGAATTAGAGAAAAGGGTTAGTCTTAAGGAGGCAGAAAGGGAGCTTGACATTGAGCTGGAGCAGCAACCCAATGGGTAGAGACTGCAGGACAATCAGCTTGTCCCAGGTAGGAAAGGGGAGCGGGGGCAGGAGAAGGGACCATCATTAAAGAAGCCAAGCAGGACAGGAGGAACATGATAAAGCAAGGGGCACTAGGATGACGATGTGTTATGACTGATGGCGAGACCACTCTGCCTCCATTCCAGACTAGGAAGACTGTGCCTATGCCAGCAGCTGGTGGTATTTCTGGCCCAGCCAAAGGGAGGATATCACTGGGGCAACTGTCTGTATTCAGGTATAAGCTCGGGTTACACTTATGAAAAACAAAAAATTGAGATGGCCAAGCACCCTCTGCTCTTGGTGATGGATGTGAAGCTGTAGGAACATGCTCCAGGGAAGAAGCACAAAAACATGCAGTCAGTTCCCATAGGGAGGTGGGGAGGAGAGAGGGATTCATATGGCTGGTTACCCTGGCTTCTGCCAATACGGCCTTGGAGCCAGAATCCACGGATGCACGTTTCAGCTCTTCATCCCTTTCCTGCTGCAGCTCGGTGGCAATGAGCACAGCTCTGACAGGATCTGCAGATGTTCCAGGTTTAGTCATGAAGTGACTGGTATCTGATGCCGAGCCGGTAGGCTCTGTGGCTTTGGGGCTAGAGAGATTATTGGGGGGATGAAGCTGAACAAAACCTAGCTCCAAGAGTTTGTTACGCTGCTGTTCCACTTGCCCTGGGAAGGGTTCAGATGATTGCTCACTTGGAAGGGCCCTGAAATCACCTACATTTGTCCAGAGGTTATCTGCACCATGAGTGTCACCTCGTTCAAATATCTTAATTTTATTGGCCACAGAGGTCTTGCTGATATCTTCCTGGGAGCCCTCATGACCACTAGCTTGGAAAGATATCCCCTGCTTGGGTTCCCTTCCCAAGGCAGTGAGCACCAGGCCTCCTGCTGCTTTGGTCTGCTTGGCTCCATCTTTTGGTTTCTCACTGGTAGTGGGCAGCTCTTCTGTCTTAACTACCTCAGGGACTACTGACTCCTTGGTCCCCAGACTTCCCTTCGGAAAACGGAAAGTCTTTGGAAAGACGATGGGATGTTCTGTGTCAGAGGGCCCATCGTTGTACCACTGCTCTCGTTCTGGAGGGGGTGGGTCTGTACTATCTTCCCAAGCTGCTGAGGCCTCAGAATTCCCTGGGGAAGCCAGGGCAGGGTCATTCATCATGATCCCTTCCATTTGAAGAAATATTGTAGAGGCTTGATTTTCATTCAGCTCAGGGTCTCCCTCTAAAGCATGAAATGACCTTCTCTCTTGGAACAGAAAACGGTCCTCCCTTTGTCTGCCTGGTTCATTCACACCTCCTTGAAGGACCCTCCTTGGACCTGTGTTTGGGAACTCCCTTCTTTCTCCTTTGCTTGGTAAATCGTTCTCTAAGTCATCTGGGGGGCTCTTTTGAGCCTTTCCTATAGAATTTCCTGTCCCAGGCACTTCTTCCTCTACATATTTGCCACGTGTCACGTCAGGAAACTCTCCTTTCCTCTCACAAGAGCTCTGCTCATTGCTAGCTGGTTGATGATTTAGGGATGTTTTCTTACTCAGCTGTTCTAAAAGGACTTTGAGTTCATCTAATCCTACATCTATGGATGGGGGCTCATCTCCTTCTGAAGATATACAAGTATTACTGCCAAGACTTGAGACTGCTTGGTTTGAAGAATTAAGCTCAGGAGCCACTGTTGACTCGCCTTCCAATTCCACTTGGCCTTTCTGATCTTCCTGAATGGCACCCAGATTTGCTACCTTTCCCTCTTCAGGGACAAAGGAGGCCTGTTCTTCTTGTTCTTTGCCTGCAAAACTTAAGTAGAAGCTCCTTTCTGCTGGGGAGGTCTCTGTCTCATCACTGGAATCTGCTCTGGTTGAGTCCCCTGGAGAGGCTTTCATACCTTCCTTCTCCAAGGCTGGAGATTCAGAACGGGGGTCCGAAGGTTTCATTGCAGGCACTTCCTGTTGAGTCTGTGGCCCTGCTACCAAAGATTGTCTGTAGGCATGGAATTCTTCTAGCTCCTTTCTGAGTTCCATTTGTCCCTCAAGCTGGTTGGCTGAGGCTCTGTGTTCCCCAATGGCTGCCTCCCTGCTGTTGAGCCTGGGCTGGGAGGTATCTGGGATTTTCTCCACTAGTGCATGACCAGCCAAGAGTGAAGTCCTTTCTTGGCCTTCCTGAGCCCACACGCCATCTTCCCACACAGACTCAAAGTCCTCAGGACTCGCAATCATCCTTCCTCTCTGGCAGGTCTCCCCTTGCCCCTTCATTCTGACTAATTCTTCAGTGGCCACTTCAACTCTGAACTTATCCACTCGGACATCCACCTTGGAGATCCCCTTGCTGGAGAGGTCATCTGATGTGACTGTGGCTGGGGGTTCCTCTGGCTGTGGGGCACTCAGCCTCCTGAGCACAAGCTCTTCAGGCTGAGAGCACTCTCTCTCTATAAACACCCAGTGCTCCGAACCCTGCATTTCAATTGGAGCAAGAAAAGTTAGCATAGGCTGAAATCAGAGCCTGTAACTTCCAGTCAGTGCAAGAAAAAATTGATAGGACCAAAGGGCAGACCATGGCACTGCCCTCATGATATCAAGGAGGAGGGCATTGAAAGGAAAGAAAAATAGTGCCATCCAGTACCTTCTTATACATTCTACTAAGAGCTTCCTTTTGTTACTACCTCCCCCAAATTCTGTGAAATGGGACAGGGCATTAGTATTCAGCCTTTATAGGTAGGGAAACTGATTATTGGATTGTTGGAAAAGATCCTAGCTTTCTAGTCTAGTTCAAGCCCTTGATTTTAGAAGATGAAAAAACAAACAAACAAACAAACTATGGCTCAGAAAGGTCAAGTGATTTTCCTAAAGTGGTATAGCTTGTTAGGGCAGAATGAGAACTAGGACCCCTTATCTCCTGATTCCTGGACCAGGGGATTCTTTAATAATAATGATATTCACATAATAGCTAACATTTATATAACACCTACTAGACATGATGCTAAGTACTTTACAAATATAATCTTATTCGATCCTCATCCCTGGGAAGTAGGTGCTATTATTATCCCAATTTTACAGATGAGGAGACTGAGACAAAATAGAGGTGAAGTGACTTGCCCAAGGTCCCATGGCTAGTAAGTTCTGGATTTGAACTCGGGTCTTTCTGACTCCAGGACCAGTGCTCTACTCACTTCACCATCTAGCTGCCCCCGTCTTTGTGCTCTGTGAAGTACCGAAATGTCCAGGTGCCAAGGAAGTTAGTGGAAGAACTATCATGAGAAACAGCTACAATCGTCACCAGAATGACATCCCATCTTTGTGGACTGACGAGGCTGAGCAACGACGTTGAGACAACTAGAGTTTGAGGAAAACTAAGCTCAAAGACAGCATCTTCTTGAGGAGTCAGGTTGTTTCCATATTCAGTCTAAAACCTTCAAATCTCACTTGGTTCTGGCCTTGGTTTACCTTCTCTTTTCACCTTTCTTCTTGGGAGAACGTGACTCGCACTTGCCTATAATCTCCTACCTGTCCCCTGGCACCCAAGCACACCCACTCTATTAGGAGGGAAGAGCCCCCCTCCTGGGTGCTGTGTGCACGTGAAGTGGGTGGGAGGTGGTCTGGCAGAGCCTCCAGCGTGGTCTCTCTGTCAGGAGGGAGAAGGGTCATGCCCTCCTGCGGCACACTATGCCTCTCCTCACACCCACTGGCTCCTGGTCTGACCTTTCAAGCTGTCAGGGACACAGTAAGGATGGATCTGAAGAAGGAATGGCATTTTTAAAACACCAAATCCTTATTGAAAAGCTTGATTTTCAAAAGAGCTTAAACATAGTCCTACTGAAGGGGCAAAAAGTTGAAATTAAGTTCCAGATTATGTGTACTTTGTATTCCCTGAGATGATGTTACCTAGCCTGAGGGGGCCACGTGCTCTGAGCTGTCAGAATCCATACCCTAGTACCTCGAGTGATCAAGAGCATTCATTGAGAGTGCAAAAAGGTCAAGGTTAGGAATATCAGTGTTGTCCGTAGGGATAACAGAAGTCTTTTCTATGCAAAGTCTATGGGCCCATCTTCAGCCTTATCAGACAAACTAGTGGAGAATGCTCTCCATGCTTCACGGAGAATCCAACCCCTTTGGTTTGGAGGGGTTTTCCCCTGGGCCACATAGCATGGAAGGGACAAGAACAAGAACAAGAAGGCTGTGAATTTAGTAAGGGCTTGGACTTTTTATCATGACACACATATACAGGTAAGCTAAACCCTGGAAAATACAGTAGATTAAGTTAGTGAAGTACTGGCTGGAAGATCAAATTTAAGCACAAGTTCAAGGTCCAATTGGGAAGAAGGAATCCTACACCTGTTGTTAAGTAATTTTTTAGTCACGTCTGACTCTGTGATCCCATACCCGGAATCCTAGGCCTACAACCTGCCATTTCATAAGACCCCTTGAGCAAGGGATCAGAAAGTTCAATTACAGACATCAGATGTCTATTCCCAGGGACACAGCTGGAAACCAAAATGAATTAGATGGTTTTGTTCTGAACAAGGTAATATTAGGCTCAAAAGGGTCCATAATTGGGGAGGAACAGCACAACTTCACAAATGGAAAACATCAACCCAGATGAAGAAGAAAGAAAGGATTTTCATTGGGTTCTGCTGTGGGATGGCAAGGTTATCCAGGAGAATTTAGCCAGAAATGTTTACATTTCAGTCTGTCTCACCTTGGCATCATGGGAGCTCAAGAGATGGCTCCATTCGCCACCCCCTTTTCACTCTGCTGTAAGCCTGGCCTTAGATCCTCTAGTATCAAAACTGTGATGATGGCTAGGGACAAGACTTTTAACAGCAGATCCCATGGGCAGGAAAAGTGCTGAAAGGAAGGGAGAATCCTAAGGAAAACTGGATTAGGGAGACAGGAGCCCAGGCCAATACTCAGGCAGCAGGAGCCAGCACAGACATGTGGAAAACATGTCCTTTACCATGGAAGAATCCTAGATTGATTTATATGAATCACCTGATCCATCCCCCTGCCCTTAAGCTCATCCCACGCTCTGGTCTCATCCCCAGCTAAGAAACCCTTTAAATAGAAGATTCTATCACTAAGGCCACTCCTGAGCTTTCTCCAGTGCAGACCTGATTGGAAACAGACTCCTTCACTCAGACAGAGAAAAGGAAGGTCATAAAATCCTGAGGTAGGTAACTGGCAAAGGAATCAGAGCACTGGACTTGGGAAAGAGAAAAATCTGAGTTTAAGTCCTGACTCATATACTTCTTAGCTGCATGACCCTGAATGAGTCACTTAACTTCTCTTTGTTTCAATTTCCTCAGCTGTAAAATGAGGAGGGCTGGACTTGATGGACTCCAAGGTCCCTTCTAGCTCAAAAGTGTCTAATCCAACCCTTATCTAAGCAGGAATGCTCTCTACAAGATCTCTCAGAAGTGGTCTTCCAACTCGTACATGAAGACCTCCAGTGATAGAGAATTCACTACTTCCCCATCTTAATTGCTAACACCATTAGTTCTTTATTTTTTTTTGAGGGGGGTGGGTAGGCTCAGGGTTACATGACTTGAGTGTCTGAGGTCAAATTTGAACTCAGGTTCTCCTGATTCCAGGGCCAGTATTCTATCCACTATGCCACCTAGCTGTCCCAAATCGTTAGTTTCTACTATTAGAAAAATTTTCCTTAAATGGAGCTGAAAAGTACAACTCTCATACATTGCTCCTAATTCTTCCCCCTTAGGCCAAAAAAATCTAATCCCTCCTCCACATGACAGAGAGCCCTTCAATGCTTGAAGGAAGCTATCATGTCTCTCCTCAGTCTTCTCTTCTCCACGCTAAATAGACCAGTCAAGGGGAAGAATGAGGCTAACTAGAAAATGGACTGCAATCAAACAAAATCCTAAAGGAAACAAAATGAAGGCCCCAAGAGTCTCTGGGACATAAGCAAGAAAGAATAGTCTGTTCTTGGCTCTCCCTTTTTCTAGGGTTTGCCTCTTCTCTTGCGTGGACCAAGAGTTCCTCCTTTTGTCTGCTGGGGGTAGAGAAGGAGGGCACTGCTGCCTGCTCCTGACAATGGCCAGGACTCTCAGAGGATAAAGCTACCCTCTATAACCCTTCCTTCATGGAGGGTTTGGGCACTGGGCCGCTGGCCAAGAGGAGCACATCTTGTAAGGAAGCACCTTGCTGCTCTCCATTCCACTATAGGAATGCTACCCACTGGGGAGCCCTGTAGCCAAGCAAAGGGGTGAGGGTTAGACAGCAGAGTACGGGAGGAAAGGGACACCCAGGCCTTCTAGCCATCCTTGACCCCAGGCAGAGAAGCCCAACAGGCTCACTGCCCGACTAGGCCAGGGGATGGTGGGGAAGGGTACTCTTCTAGCAGGGAATCTGACAGACCCTAAAGGAACTCAATCCAGACCAGAGCTAGAGAAGGGAAGGGCGGACAGAAGGACCATCATCACCTAGATTAGAAGCTTCCCAGAGCCTACAGAAATAAAGACAAGTCCTCAGAGACAAGTCCATCATGGCACTTTGATGCCCTCAGTCCACATAGAATTCAGCTTTGAATAAATCCTATCTGTCCCAATTCTGGGAAAGAAAGCCTGTCCACTCCCTCAGCCCTTTCCCAGGAGCCAATCTGTCCTCTAAGGGGAGGGGACATTCAGGCTGCCCTTTCCTCACAGGCCAGGCTTGAAGGCCTTCTCCTTCCCCTCTGGAGCATGGCTGAGAAGAGGGGAGTGGCACCCTCCCCAAATGGGCACACGGACAGGTCCCCCCACCCATCACACCCGAGAAGGTGACAGATGAGTGAAGAGACCCCGGGAGAAATGGAAAGACCCCCCCAGGTGACAGAGGATGGACAGTAACCTCAGGAGACGACGCAAGACTTTTCTGGATGAATGACTCCAAGCCTAAGGCAATTCCCGGCTCCAGCTGGGAGGCGTCCTCTGTTCTCTGGCTCTGCAGGGAAGGAAGGTCCAGGGCCCAGGCAGAGGGGAGAGCAGGGACACAGGGAAAGGGAAGAGGGAAGGAGAGATGAGAGGGAGAAATACAGAGAGAAAGGGAGAAAGACGGACATACATTCCATGAACAGTTAGCCCTTCCTCACATGGCCCTGGTTCAAATCCAACAGTACAAAGAGTCTTGTTTGGAAGCTATTCATAGCTGACATTTACACAATACTTTATGGTTCACAAACAAAGCACTTTGAATCTTTACCTCATTTGATCCCTACAACAACTTTGTGAGGTAGGAACTACATAGGTATTATTATCTCCATTTTACAAAATGAGGAAGCTAAAGCTCAGAGAGGCAGAATAATCACAATACTCAATATTTAAATATGGCTTTAGGTTTATAAACATGCTTTATATATGTAATTATAATTTATTCTCACATCGTTCCTGGGAGATAAGTGCTAATATTATACCCATTTTAGAGATAGGAAACTGGAATTTAATGACTTGTTCACAGTCACAACAGCTAGTGTTGAAGGCAGACTTGGTGAACCCAAATCTTTCCCGACTCAAGTCCAGCATTCTATCTACTACATCACATCGCCTCTTTGGATGGAGCAGGAAGGCTGTGAGTAGAATGGAGCTGAGGAGGGAGGAAGTCAGAGCTCCTAGTTCAGTCCCAGAAGTGATCCATAGGATTAGGTTAGTTGGGGTGGAAACCCTTATGAAGGTCCCAAGACCTGTGCCTGATACCTATCAGGATGGTCCCAGGATCAAAGATTACATGGCTATCCCAGCCAACTTTGTTCCTATTCAAGTATTAGAAAAGGGAAAGGTTCAAAACAGCTTTCCAACAGCTTTCCTCAGTGGCTTTTTTTTTCTTTTGTGGGAACAAAACTGGATTCATGGCATAGTTCAGTGAAAACATTATTAAGTTAAGAGTTTAGGAAATGAACTCAGCTCCTTCCATTTTGATTTCCTATCCTTGCTCCTCCCTCATGGATCACTGGGGACCATGAGATCATGATTGTGGGTAGAATCTAGGCTCCTGAAATCTCAGGACATACTCTTTCTAAACCTACCCTCTGAATTCCTCCGAAGACCCTTCCAGAGCCATTCAAATGCTAGCAGTGCCCCTGGATCCATTCTGTAGGCTCTGCCCCTTGCCATCTGAGATGCTTCCTCCCCATGACTCAGTTATATTATCTTTCCTTCCCCCAACCATCTACCTTTAGCAACTTACGCACCTCTCAGGTAGTCCCCCCTGGTTGAGACTAAGGAAATAGATTTCCTCCTTTCTTGTCAAAGGATATTTGGCTCTCAGGGGAGGGCCAAGGCTGAGATCATCCTCCACTCCCTGCTCCAAGGTTATCATACATATCCAAGCTGCTCCAGAAGTCTGGCTGGTACCATTAGAGCCTCAGTCCCATAATCCCTGAGGGGACAGGGCTGCTGATAGGCTATGTCAAGAGTGGAGCCCAAACCGAGCCCTGTCCAGGACCAAGAATACAGTGCCACAGCTGACTGAAACAACTGTCACTGAGACCAGGGTAGACACCAGTTCAACTGCCATTTTACTGTTTACACGTCTAGGACCAGACTTCCATTCAAATCAATCATGAGTGCCTTCACAGCAATAACTCCCATACCACCATCTGGTCAGCCCCTTTGCCCAAGAAGCCTGTCTCTGACAGAGGTACTAAGCATGGCTTAGAATGGCTCAGTACTACCTATCTCTTGTAATGTTGGCTCTAAACATCAGAGTTTACCTCTGGGGCTGGGGATACCCCAGAACATTCCAGTAACTTGTCACAGAGCTTTGAGCATTAACTTTGGCCTGTATTACTCTTTTTGGGGGAAATCTTATTCTCTACTGTTCAAATAGAGACAGCAAACTCTCTGTAATCTGGCATAATAATACCAATTTACATTCCTCTAACTCTTTATAGTTTACAAAACACTTTTCTCACAACCACTCTGCAAAGTAGGTTGTCCAAATTGCCACCACTTTACAAATAAGAAAACCAAGTCCTAGAGAGAGGAAGTATCTTTCCCAAGGTCAGATAGATAATAAGTGTTAGAGGTGGGACTCAATCCCAGGTATCTTGTTGAGGTTGGGGAACGCTGAGTTAATTTAAAATTCTGGTTAATAGAGAAATACTACATATCCCATATGTAGATCAGTAATCTTTAAGGAATTAAAACACATATATTAACTTGATACAAAATTTGGATAGAGCACAATTTAATCTTCTTCCAATTGCTTAGAAACCTTCATACATAAGAGAAACCCATGAGCTTTGAAACATCACATGGCTAGGAAGACAGCATACTTTGGACATGAAGGTGGAAAGCTAAGATTCAAGGCTACAACACTTATTAGTTGACCCTGGGTAAGTCTCTTCATCTGAGCCTCAATTTTCTCAATTTTAAAATGAATATACAATATTTGTACTATCTACCTCCAAGAACTATTATGATGTTCAATTGTAATGACAGCTAGAAAGAGCTATCTAAATGTGAGCTGTTATTATTTATGGTTATTGAATGTCAGCTATGGTTGTACAACGGTACTTAGTAATCTAGATTTTAGGGAGAAAATGCCTTTTTCATAACACATATAGGTAAATATTTTTTAGACTTTGTTATAGAAAGTACTTAGAATATGACCTTAGAGTTATAAGCATTGAGTATAAAATTCTATCTTTTTCTCCTTTTCAACAGAGAAATTTACACTTGTGTTTTGAAAAGTTAGGATATAGGGGTAACTCCCCACCACATAGGCTTGTAGCATATTCTTAATAGCTATTTTTGTCATGAATTTTTAAAAATAATAGGCATTAAAGAGTTTATTGGATGTTAGTTAATAGAGTTTTCTTGCTAATAGAATGCTCAACAATAAAGAACATTTTCTTGGCCCTAAAATTCCTTCTTTCAAGCTTCAAACATTCTCCCCCAACCCAACTCCAACATCTCATGTTCCAACATCAAATTTCTTCTACCAAAAATGGCTACTATGAGGCAGATGATAAATGCAATAAAATCTGTGTAAGTCATTACCAATTCCCACACTCCACTCTTTTTTTATGGAGCCCAAGGCCACAGGACCCACCTCATTAGCTTTCTCAGGGGTCCCTTTAGGGGTTCCTTCTTCATGCTTGGGGGATGATGATGCTGGTGAGGAAGGCAGCCTCCGCTCACGTTCCCAGTCACGATCCCTATGGATCAATTTGCTATTGGGCTCCTTCAGTGTCCTCTTGAGTTCATTGATGCTGGCCTGGTGCTTCAGCAGTACATCCTCTGGTTTATCTAAGAACTTGGGATGGAGAAAGCAAGTGAGTTAAAAAACGAAAGTACTTCTGAACTACACTAGTTTTCCATTCCAAAAGCAAGGAGCAAGGGACAGGGAAGATTGAAAAAGTTAGAAGCTGCCCTAACCCCTTATATGCTCACGCTCTCTGGGTATGAGTGAGGAGGAAAGAGGGAAGGATTCATGTGAACTGTCCCCCATGCTTGGAGTATTATCTATTTTCATCCCTTCCTAGAGAAATAACCTTCCTTTCCTTCAAGTCTCAGCATAGGTGCCATTTCCTCTATGAAGCATTGCCTGATGCCCTTAGTGGAAAGTGACACCTCCTTTCTCAAGTAGGACCTCCTTCTGTAGTTCTTCATCCTGAGCACATGTTACCTTATAACAGATACTTGCATAGCCATCTTATTCCCTCAATTAGATTGTAAACTCCTTGAGGAAAGGGCGATGCCACTTTTCAAATATGCATCCTCTGTGCCTTGCCCATAACAAGTGCTTCTAAGGGCCTTTTAAACCGAGCTATCAGGAGTAGAAGACACCGACTGCAGCACTGTGGCCTGAAACCAGTAGTTAGGGAAAGAAAAGGCTGAGGCATCTGACCACAGGCTGGCTTCAACGAGGCTGGAAGTAGTCACCTGCATGCTATGGGGTGGAACACAGGAAAGAGGAGCAATTTACATTTATTTTCCATATCCTCAGGACATCTCATCTACAAGGTTATTTAAGAATTCTCAATTCATCACAATCCCATTTCACTGGTTCAAAAAAAAAAAGTCAGCAGATTCCTTTGAAAAACAATCACAAGATCACAGACCTAGGGAGCTGGCCTGAAAATACAGCTAGAAGCCTCTAGAGTTAGTCTCTTGAGCCATGGAAATATACTACCAAGGATGATAATAGTAATTAGTCTTCATTTGGTTGGCACTTTATAGTAAAAAAAAAAAAGTACTTGGGGCAGCTGGGTTGCACAGTAGATAGAGCTCTGGCCTTGGAGTCAGGAGGACTTGAGTTCAAATCCAGCCTTAGACACTTGACACTTACTAGCTGTGTGACCCTGGGCAAGTCACTTAACCCTGACTGCCTCACCAAAAATGAAAAAAAAAAAGAAATAAAAAGTGCTTTATATACATTACTGAATTTGATCCACACAACAACAATGTGAGGGAGAGAAGTTATTACTATTATTATTATTCCCATTTTACTGATAAGTAAACAGACACAGAAAAGTAAAGTGACTTGATCAAAGTCACACAGCCAGAAAGTGATAGAAATGAAAATCAATAATAGATCTTCTGACTCCAAGTCCAGACTACAATCTATAAGCATTGACTCTTCAGCCACTATAAGTAGAAGGAAAAAGTGGGCTCCCCAAGAGCAAATCTAACCTGCCTCAATGCATCTGCCTTTCCACAATAAGCTCACTGCCTCACTCCCAGAGCCAGTATTCCACAGTGATGGTGAATCCTTGGGGAAGATTCGAAAATCAAATGCCTTGGTCATATTCATCTGAATATCTCCTAGCTCCTCCCTCTACCATGGGACAGGTCTCCTATAACAGGCAGGGATCCACTAGGGTTATGGCAGCCAGCTGAATCCATGGGGCTTTAGAGTATCCGAGGCCTCTGTTGGAGAATGAGGATCATATTCCCTCCCCTTCTAGCATCTTCAAACTTAACCTTTCCCAAGACAGTCAAAAGACAAACACATTTTGGCAATGAACATACTATGAAGGGGCTGGGTTGGGTGACAAGCAGGAGAGGAGCTGTTTCTGGTTGGGGAAATAGGAGTCAATAGAAACAGGAAGAAGAAAAGGAGAAAATGAAGGAAGGAAGAAAAAGAGGAAGGAAGAGGAAAGATAAAGAAGGAAAAAGAAGAGGAAAATAAGAGAAATGAAGAGAAAGAAGAAAGAAGGGAGAGAAAGATGAAAAGAAGAGGAAAATAAGAGAAATGAAGAAGAAGAAGAGGAAACAAGAAGAAATGGATAAGATGAAGGAAGAAGAAGGAAGAGAGTGAGAACTTTACTGAGTAATAAACTTATGAGGGCAGAAAGCAAGCAGATAGCACAGCAAGGGGCCCCTTTCCCAGGAATATGGATGACTTTCCCAATGTAAGGAAAAAGAAGATGAAGACCAGCGAAGGCATGTGGGATGTCCTGAAATGAGAGGGCATGGGCCTGAAATGAAGGCAGAATGGCACATGGCAGATGGTGGGTGGCAGACAACGGACCAGAAGGAGCAGGGGAGAATGATGCGGTCAGTACCTCCTGCTTGTGCCTCGGCGTGGTTTCCTGCTCCGGCTAGCAGTACATGGTGAGGGAGGAACCAGCAGGGTCAGTAGAGGGATTACATTAGATACATCTAGATTCAGGTCAAGCAGGGTGGTGAGGTCGGGAGGGGAGTGGAACTAGATCACTGAAAGAACATTAAGCTGGGGCTACCAACAATATAATTGGGTGGAGGGCCTGGGAAGCATGTTCATTTACTTATGAATGTTAGGTCTGTACATACATACAGCTGTGGTGCGTGTGTATATTCAAAGGGCATGTGTATAGACATACGTGTGTGCTTGAAGAGGTAGGTTGTTTCATACATGTGCCTACGCTGTGGACATACTGTGCTCTTTGAATCCAAGTATGTATGTGTGCATGTGAAATCTCACTGCAAAGTAACAAGCTCTCAAGGTCCCACAAGCATAGGCCCCTTCTCTGAGTCAGTCAGAGAGAGGCCACCTCCTTAGGCCACCAGGGAAGGGCTTGGTGATAAGTCACCGGAGAACACAGATCTCCTGCCTTCATAGTCGTGCCTCATGGCTGCCCCCAGAGAGGGTCACCTCCTTGACCACCAGCTTCAGCTTGTGGGGGCTTTGGGGAAAATGTGATAATACACCTGTTTGGAAGGGTAGCCACAGGCAGACGTGGCCTCTGAGGGACCTTCCCTGAAAGGTTGTACCCTGTGGGGCACAGGAGGCCTCTCTGAGTTCCAGGCAAGGCATCCTCAGGACTGAGAAACTCATGCCTATGGCCCCAGTATTCCAGCTATAGGCATCAGACAATAGTGACGCCATCATAGAATCTGCGTGGGCAGGTCAGGGTTGTATGATAAGCTGCCATTATTAGTTTAACCTTTATAGCCTTTTTAAAAAAATGCAAATAGCGCTGATTACATGGTTTTATTTCAAGTTTTAGTCCTTACTTATATGTATTTATTATATAATTTAAAATTTATTTTTAAATTTAAATTTAAAATTTTAATTAAAAATTTATTTATTATATTTACTAAGCCTGACATTAAAGTTCAGAACAAGAAATAGCAACTTTTTCAAAACATATCACACGTGTAAGTTCTTGTAAGCATATAAATATAATGGTTTAGGCAACTGTGTTTTCTTGGCAGAGATGTCAATGCATTATGTGTACAGAGAGGGGTCATGGGGTCATGGATGTCAGTATCTGAAGGTATGGACATGTACAGAATATACCCAGGAAAATGGGGACTAATGTGCTCTGTGAATGTTTGTGTATATGACAGCCCCTCTCCTTTCTCAGGAGCATAGACCTGGACAGGTACAAATAGCCTACCCACAGGCAGAGATGTACCTTGTTGGAAGAGAGGGAACCAGTTCATGCTGCCTTTCATGAGTAAACAGAAAGGGTGGGGCCTGGGGTGCACACACACATCACACCCTAGATAAGTGGCTAAGGCCTTTGGCCTCCACAAACAAAAGCCGAGGACACCCGGACACCCAGTGTGTATTTCAGGCGCTCTTGGCTGTGGGAAGTCCAAGGTTCTCTTGTACTTGGGGGTGGAGAGGAAGGCTTGAAAGTCTCATACCTTCAGTTCTTTGATCTTGGTGGGGGTCCGGAGCTCTCCTTCCTCCGTCTCTGACTTTCTCCTCCCACCACCATAGTCTCTGTCTTCTTCAGACTTCTCAGCCTCTGACCCCACATCATGATTCTCACTGACAGAGGCTGGTCGAGAAAATTCTGCTGGGGGATGATGGCAGGGAGGTAAAGAAGGAAGAACAGCACCAGGACAAAAGGTCAGGACTCCTAAAGCTCCCAGCTGAGCATATCCTAGAGAGACCCTGCCCATTGCCTACTCTATTAATACACTCAATTCTGGAACTCAACCTGGCTCTGGTCTAGTCTCACCTAAGCCAGAGCAGACATCTGATCAATTGCCCTGCCCCTTCCTTTCTACCTCTTTCTCAGGAAATAATAATCAATTCAGCCTCAGCACTGCTTTTGGGAAGGCCAGGACAACTTACTGCTCCACAGCTCCACTCAGAATGCCTGTGATTCTGACTTCCTAGACTAGGTGTTCTTAACTTGGGGTCCAGGAACTTTCTGAAAATTCTTTTAAATTTATAACCATATTTTAATGTAACCAGTTTCCTTTGAAATCCCACGTTTGTTTGTTTTTTAAATTTCATGCATTTTAAACATTATTCTAAGAAGGTGTCTGGGCGTGGTGGCACACACCATAATCACAGCCACTTGGAGGGGCTGAATCTAGAGGCTCAGCTCGGGGGGACTAACTGCAGTAGAGCCATTTGAGTGCCCTCATCTGGGCACCAATAGTGAGTCCCCAGCCTGGAGGGGTATGGGCAGGGGACCAGGCTACCTAAAAAGGGGCGAACTACTCCAGGTTAGAAAAGGAGAAGGTCAAAGCTTCCACGCCAATCAGCAGCGGGTACTGCACCTCCAGGTGGACAAAATAAAGAGTCCTAGTCACCAAAAAAAGGGGAGGGGGCTACAGGTTTCACCAGATTGCCAAAGGGGTCCATGACACAAAATAGCTCAAGGACCCCTTTGTTATTATTGTTACTGTTCAGTTGTTTTAGTCATGTCCATCTCTTTGTGACCCCATTTGCGATTTTCTTGGCAAAGATACTACAGTGGTTTGCCATTTCCTTCTCCAGCTCATTTTACAGATGAGGAAACTGAGCCACAGTTAAGTGACTTGTCCAGGGTCACAAAGCCAGGAAATGTCTGAGACCAGATTTGAACTCAGGTCTTTCTGATTCCAGGCCCAGCATTCTATCCACTGAGCCACCTAGCTGCCTCAAGAACCCCTAGCCTAGCCCAAAGTTCCTTTCTTTGGTCACCACACTCATCTATCCCTCATTATCCACCCACATTATTCCTGTCCAACTCGACCTGCCCCATTGTGCCAGCCTATGTGTTTCCAGGTTGATCGTACATTGCTCCCTGTGATACACTTTATGTTCCAGCCACGCTCCAGCCTATTTGCTGTAAGAAAGATTCATGTCTCTGTGCAGGTCTTCTCCCTTGCCAGGAATGCTCTCGTTCCTCACTTTTGTCTCCTAGAACCTCCTAGACCCCTGATGGGCCTTGACCTTGGGTGTCAATCACCTGATAACCTATCCCAGAGGCATTCACTTTTGAACAGAGGCCCTCAGGTGGCCAAAGAGCTTCCCAAACCCAAAAGGCTATGACATGATCTAAGGGGGCGGGGTTTCATGCACAGGTGAGGAGCAACAGGATCATTCTTGGGTTAGACTGGTGCCACTGACTGACTACCCACCCCTCATTCAGACGCCCAATTGCCTCTCAAATTTGGGACATACCTCCATCGAGGCTTCGGGACATGGTGTACCGTTTGCTGGAGGAACGTTCAAAGAAGGGTGCAGGCCTGTCAATGAGGGCACTGGCCTGCCGGGTCTGTGCCTGTGTCCTCCCACTGTAGCGGAACTTGGAGCCCATCACCAGGAAGCCCTTGGGTGGGGGTTCAGGAGACACCAGCCTGTATTGGGAGCATGGGTTATGGTTGGGAGGGTATAAGAAGAGCCCAAAGTTACAAAGAGACAAGTTATTTCCTATCTTGTTATATTCTAGTTATCTGATTCCATCCCTGTGCCTGTATCTAGAAGATCCCAAAAAGCTCCACAAAAGGAAGGCTCATACCTTATCTAAATTTTGTCTTTCATGCAATAAAGAGCTAAGTGCTCTGTATCCAGCAGACACTTAATCCTAAAACCTCTTGGCTGGAGGGAACTTTAGCAGAATTCTTTTAGCTTAGCTTTTCCTAAATCCATTTGAGGGAACTGGTGCTCCCAGAATACAATTTTAATGCTAACAACAATTTCCTCTATCAAATATTAAACATGAAATTATGTGAATGCCCAAAAATATAACTTGAAGGAAACTAGGTCAAATTTCTTCTATTTCACCGCAGAATTTTCCTGATTCTTCCAAGGTCACATGGGGGAGAACTACACTCCTAAGCCCTTGTGAACCAGCTTATAAAGGTGCATGAATATATTTTAAGCTCTGCCATTACCCAGTGTTCTGCAGCCAAATGAGTCTATTAAGCACTGATTTAGTCTAGCCTCTTTATTTAGAAGGAAGGAAATTGAGGTCCAAAGAGGAAAAAGGAATATGCCCAAGGTCAACAGCAGAACCAGGAAATGAACCTGGACCCCGCAACCCCCAGGTTCAGCTAGCTATGTTTCCCTGAATCAATATAAGGGACACTTGCATTTGGCCTGTAGCTCCTTTCATCCTTTAAGGCAAAGGGAGGAACTTCCAAGTGTGCTAGGTGAGCGGGGATGTCTGGGGGGCAAGAGGCCCTTTCCTGGATCCACCAAAGTCCCGGTTTCATCTGCCCCATCTTGCCCCTGCCCTGCCCAGTTATGTCCTGCTTACCTGAAGAATGTGTGATGCTCAATGCAGACCTTCCAAAGCCTCTTCGCTGACCGGTGATTAGGGAGCTTAAAGCCAATGGTACTCTCAAACTGCTCATACTAGGACACCAGGGGAGGGAGGATGAGTGACATGGCCCTGACCCACTCTCCCCACCCTTTCCTCCCCTTATCACACTCTCCTTCTCCCAAGTCTCCTCTCTCTACTTAGCCAAACTCTGACCCCATGCTTCTAGGGCCTAATTTCTCTAGGGAATCTTCTCTACTATTTCTTTCAGGGAAAGGAAGTGGGGGAGTTTAGCCTGGAGAAGAAAAAGGAGGAAAGAATGAGGAACCCGATCATTATCTTCAAGTATTTGAAGGTCCATCACAGGAAAGGCAGGGTTACACTTCTGCTTGTACCCAAAGGGAAGAATTAAGCACACAATGTACAAGTTGCAGAAAGGCAGATTTCAGATGGACTTAAGCAAAAAGCTCTTACAATTAGAGCTGGGTCAAAAATGGAAAGGGCTCAAGAATAGTGAGTTCTCTAGTAACAGAAATCCTCAAGAACAGGCCAGATGGCCACCAATTAGGGAGGCTGTGGAGAAGATTCTGGCTCAGGTAAGGATTGGAATATTGGCCCTCTGAGGTCCCTCCTAAGTCAGATTCCATAAAGTATAGTCAAGGGTAGAGAGGGCTCACCTCCCCTGGACGTATCTTGATGTAGAAATTACTTCTTTTATAGGAAATCTTAAGGATCTTGGGCCAGGCAAATCGGTTAATTCGCAGACGGTCTCTGTAGATCAGCAGGCCATTAGCACAGACTCCGAGCATGATGTCAATACCTTCTGAGTCCTAGGAGAGGAGAGGAGAAGAGAAGAAAAATGGGAAAGGGAGATAAAGGAGGTAAGAGAGGTAAGGGAGTAGCAGTAAGGTGGTAAAGGACACCAGCTGTAAGACCCTGGGCCATACAGATATAGAGTGCTTTGAGTATAAGCTTTGCCTGGAGACTCCAGCCTGAGCCTAGGTTGATCTACCTCTCTATCTGCCCCAGAAATACAAGTAGAGCCAGCTTGTTGGGGATCTTCTTATCCTAAATCCTATTGGGGGAGGCCCAAGGTACCAGGCAGAAGGTGCCTCTGGCTCTAAAGAAGCAAGGCCAAAGCTCACAGGGCACACCATGTGGCAGGCATCTGGTTCATAAGCAGTGCCTGGGAAGGTGCTTGTATGCAGAGGAAACATTGTACCTCAGAATATGAAGACTTGGGTTTATCATCCATTCAGGGCACATAGGTCAAGCAAGAAGAAACCCTAAGCAAACCCTGAAGCTAATTCCAACAGAAGAGGGCTAAGTCCAGCTTAGGAAGAGGTCCGGTCTAACCCTACCGAGCTCAGGTAGCTAAGGCTACTCCCAGTCCCCTTTCCTTCCAGCCAGAGAATTATACCAACCTCCTAAATAGTCTCCCTGCTTCTACTTGCTAAGCCATGCTGTTCATACTGCCTTACTGAGCTTTCTAAAGACCAGCTCTCTTCATATCATTCCCCTGCTCAAAATCTTTCAATTGTTCCCAATTGCCTATAGAATCAAGTCCAAATTCCTTGGCTTGGCATTCTAGGTGCAATCTAGACTTCCAGTCACATCTCCTACTAAATGCCCTTCGTGGCTCTTGAATGCCAAGTGGGTTCCCTCTGAAGCAAATCTTCCACATTTGAGCCTCAACGCCTTCGCTCATGATTTTCTCTTTATTCTCTCCCGCTCTGCTTAGCTAAATTCTACCCATACATTCAGGCTCAACTCAAATGTCCTCCCCTCCAGAAAACCTCCTCTGGTCCCCTTAAGCTCAACAGGTCTCCCTGAAATCCTGTAATCTTGACTGTCTGTACTGTTCACCTGCACCATAGAGGGCAGAAACCAAATCTTAGTTTTCTCTGTCTGTGAACAGCACCCACCACAAGGCAAGAGTAACTCCTTTCTGATGACTGGATTGGCCAGGGGAGTTCCAGGATCCCCATTCCCAAGCCCAACAGTGAGCACTTCATTACCCAGCCTTCAGCGGGTACCTTGGCATGATGTAGGTCCACTCCGTACATGGACAGCTTCTTGGCATTCTCAAGGAAGTGGATTTCAGCTTCTCCGGGAGTCATGCCCCTGTGAGGGAAGAGGGCACACAGTGAGCAGGGAAAGGCCAGAACCTGAGAGAACAGAGAATCTAGTCCACGCCTGGAGTGTTGTGCTCAGCTCTGGGACCACAGTTTTCAAAGTACATTAACAGTCTGAAGCATGTCCAGAAGAGGATAACCAAGATGGGCAGTGGCCTGGAGGCCATGTCATATGAGGAATGGTTCAAGGAAGTTTATTTTGGAAAGGAAAAAACCCGAGGGACCCAGGATAGCTGTCTTCAAATATCTGAAGGGCTATCACACATGAGAAACATCACATTTGTACCTCTTGGCCACAGGGGACAGGTCTAAGAGCTATGCAAATACCTTAAAAGGAAAAAAACTCACCCAATGGAAGGAGTTAAAACCCTTAACAATCAGGACCGCTTACACAACCATCGCAACAATGTTAAGTGGGAAGAATAATAACAAAAATCCCAAACTGAATGCTGTGTAATTATGGCAATCAGGCTTAGCCCTAAAGATGAGAGGAGAATACTCCACCCACCCTCTCTCCTTTCTTCTTTTTCCCCTCCCTCCCTTCTTTACAGAGCTGGAGGGACTATAGATGTTCATAGAATGTTGGATGGAGTTGACTTGTTGGTTAGTTTTGTTCAGATTTTTTTCCTTTTTCTTCTTTGTTATAAGGGCTGGCTTTGTGGGAGGAAGGGGAGGAGAGAGGAATATACTGGGAAATGAGGGTGATGTAAAAACAAAAGATATCAATAATTTTTTCAAAGAAAAAAATAGACATGCTACATATTTTTCTCTCACCTTTTCTGTTATCACAAATAATGTTACTATGAACATGCTGGTACATACAGGCCTTTGCTTGTTGTCAATAATTTCCTAAGTCCCAGAAATGGATTCTCTGGGTCACAGGGTAAGTAAGAACAATTTAGTAACGTTCTTACATAATTGCAAACTGTTTTCTGGAAGGGTTGAACTAATTTACAAATCCTCAACAATGTACTTGCATACCTGTCTTCCCGTAACCTCTCCAACAATGTGTTTTCACACTTTTTCAAAGCCTATTTATGGCTTGGTACCTGTAAGGGGACATTTTAAGGTTTCATTTCCAAAATTTGGGGGGATTTTGAATTTTTTTGAGATGGTAACTGGTAATTTGTGTTTCTTCTTTTGAAAACTGCCCCTATCCTTGGAATATTTATTTGTCTACTGAGGAATACTGTTTTTCTAAATTTGGGTATCAGATTTTTGTCAGTTATTAAATGAAAGATTTCTTTTAATCAATCTGTATCTGCTTCTCTGGTTGTGACTACAGCAATTTGTATAAAAGTGCTTAAAATTTTTATGACCAATTGTCTGCTTTGTTTTTCAGGATCTCTTCTCTCCCACGTGTGGTTGCTAATTTTTCCCTTATCCACAACTGTGAAAGATCTATCTTTCCATCCTCCTCTAATTTTTGAATGGTGTAACTTTTTATATTTATTTTAAACATTTGAATTCTTTGTGGTATAGACAGGAGAAAGATGCTGATCAAAACATATTTTTTACCAGACTGCTTCCCCTTTTTTCCAGAGGTTCTCTTTGAATTGAGTCACTTCACCCATGGTTCATGTTCTCGGGTTTATCAAACAATAGACTGCTACTGGCATTTGTTTCTAGGTCTTGCTATTTTAGTCTGCTCCATCTATTAACTCTTCTGCTTTTGAAATCCAGCATGAGAAAGCTATTATAATTACTGCTTTCTCCTAAGATCTAATAGCACTAAGCTTCCCTTCCTCATTCCTTTTTGTAATTCCAGGGATGGGGATTAGACCTAGGACTTCATCAGTACAGGGAACTCCCAGATCAGGGAACTCCCACTCTCAGTGTAGATTGGCACCTTCTCTGCAATTTACAGTTTTAGAGTTAGTTGCCAAGAGCACTTTGAATGACTAAGTCATTTTGACTGTTATAAATACATAAATTAAAAATAAAGGACATATGCTATCCGCATCCAGAAAAAGAACTGATCAATAGAAGTATCTATAGGATAATTTTCCATATATATACCTATTTGTGTCTAAGGTAGCCATCTCTAGGGGGAAAGGGGAGCAGGGAAGAAAAAAAGGAAAAAAAGAAATTTATACGATACCTTTCTTATATATTTAAAAGGGAATCACAAGTTGTACATAATAGATTTTAGTTTCGTGTGCAATTATCTTTTTATTATACTGTGTTATGGAAAAGCTTATTTTATTTTGTAAGTTTAAAATAAAATAATTTTTTTAAAAATAGAAAAAAAATGTTAAATGACCCGCCCAAGGTCCCATAGCCAGTATGTGTCAAAGATGAGTCTTGAACCCAAATATTCCTGTCTTTAAAGTTAGCTCTCTGTCCACTAACACCACACAGCCTCTCTCTTCTTGTCATTATATCCCTTGAAATTCTTGACTCTTTATTCTTCCAAATGAATTTTAGTATTTTGTATATTTCCATCAAGTATTTTTTTGTAATTTGTTTGGTATAGCACTAAACCTATGATTTGGGACATAATACTTTCACTGTATTAGCAGGACCTAGCCATGGATCTGGAATCATTCTTTAATTATTTTGGTCTTTTATTTATATAAAAATTATCCTGTAGGTGTATTCATATAAGTCTTTGTATATGCCCAATGATTGGAGAATGGCTGAATAAATTATGGTATATGAATGTAATGGAATATTCCTACACCATAAGAAATAATAAGCATAAAGAATTCACTGGGAAAAGCAAAAGGAGACATATTGGAAATATGGTGGACGGTTTAGATTAGTCTTCTAAGCTGTTATTAAACATAGCCTTTCTTTTTTTTTTTTTTTTGAGGCAATTGGGATTAAGCGACTTGCCCAGGGTCACACAGCTAGTAAGTGTCTGAGGCCGCATTTGAACTTAGGTCCTCCTGACTCCAGGGCTGGTGCTCTATCCACTGCACCACCTAGCTTCCCCATAAACATGATTTTGGCAGATGTAGAAGAGACTGTGACAACTATAGAAACTGATGAAGGAACCTGTGAAGCGGTATCTAAATCAATCAAGTGGAAGAGTCCAATGCTATCTTGTCTCTGGTGATGGTATTTTTTTAGTAGCATCTCCACTGGGACTTGGCTGAAACCAAGAATTTCCTCTCCAAAAAAAAAAAGATATTGCTGAAAGGAGGAGTCTGTGATACTTTTTTTATATTAAATAATCAAGGATTCCTCCACTGTTCACCACACTGCCAAAGGGGTCTACAGCACAAAAAAAGGGCCAGAACTCATGATCTAGAGAGAATTCCTGCATAAGGTGAGGAATTACATTGGCACAGAGTCACAGCATGATGTCAATATCTTCCTAGTCCTAGAAGAAGAGAGAAGAAATGGGAAAGAGAGTAAAGGAGATAAAGGACGTAAGAGAAGTAAGTAATTAGCAGCATAATATAGTGCAGAGAGCATTGAACTTGGGAGTCAGAGGGCCTGGGTTTGAATACCAACTCTACTGCTTACTGGTTGCTGTCCCTCACTCTCTCCAGGCCTTGTCACTGAGGTCACTCATGACTCAGATGTTTTACCAATCCACAAGCTTCCCCAAAAGGTCACAGAGCAGGGCTCCCTGGGCTCCCAGGTGGGAGGGGGTATGGCAAGCTTACCTGTAAGTCTTGTGCAGTTCCATGATTCTCTCCTCCAGCTCTTTGGTCTGGTTGGGGGCAAAGCGGAGCTCGCTGACATAGTTACCCACGTGTTCCTCGGCATCAAAGTCTCCCAGCTCAGCCTGAACGGCATAGGAGCCCAGCAACGCGTGTGTGACAAAGGAGCAGGGTAGCCGGCCGGTGATGATGTCTGCCCTCAGCTGCAGGCACAGGTAGTATCTGGGGGCGGCAGAAAGAGTGTGCTATGCAGGTGCAGCACCCTTGCACAGAGATTCAGAACGAGGAGCTCTAAGTAACAAGCCCACGGCATGGGGTATCCTAGGGTGAAGGCAACCTTCTGGGAGTCTCCAAGGATAATCCTGGACACAGCCAGATGGATCAAGGATCCATCAGGATCCTTGGAAGGTCAAGTCCATTTAAGTCCAGCCAGAAGGCCATGTCTTCACTCACTATCCAGGACCTAACTACCTCAAGGACACAGAATGTTATAGCTGGAAGAGATCAGAGAGAGTATCTTCTCTGAACCTTTTGTTTCTAGGTGAGACCCAGAGAAGGAAAGAGATTTACTTAGGATCTGATAGTAAATTAGTGGCAGAACTGATACTAGAATGCTATTCTCCTGATACCAGGTTCAGGACACTTTCTATCACCACACCACATTTCTAGTCTCCCTCAATCACCTCCAACCAGTCCATCTCCTACTGTTCACATGAGCTCAGTTTGTATCAGGACTTCCTCTTCCTGTCTTTCTCTGGCCCTCTGGTCCCTGATGGTTCCCTACCCAGAAGGGCTTAGTTCCTGGAAGGTGGCAATCAGTCAACATTCTTGAGTGGATTAAATGGGAAAATGGATATCAAGTGATTTGCAAACCTTCAAGTACTATATTGATGTCAACACGACAGTGGCTAGAGCACTGGACTTGGAGTTGGGATGGTCTGGATTCAAATTCCACCCCAGACTCTTACTAGTTTTGTATCTGAGCAAATTACTTAACCTCAATTTTTTTCATCTGCAAATTGAGGATAACAGCACCTGCCTCAGAGGTTTTTTTGAGGATCAAATGAGATAATGTATCTAAATTACCTGGCAAAACTTAAAGTGCTGTATCAATGTCATCTATCTAAGCTCTCTATGTGAGGTGCTAATAATAGTAAAAATAGCTAGCATTTACATAGTGCTTTAAGATTTGCAAAGTGCTTTCCACATTTTACTTCATTTGAGCATCACAACCACCCTGGGAAGTAGGTGCTATTATTATCCCCATTTTACAGATGAAGAAACTGAGGCTGAGAAGGCTTAAACAACTTGCCCAGAATCACTCAGCTAGCAAGTATCAAAACTCAGGTCTTCCTGATTCCACATCTAGTACTTCAACCACTACGTTAACTAACTGTCCCAAATATACAGGCTCCACAGTCTCTGGGATCCCAGGGCCCACCTCCACTACTGGTATCCTCAGCTTGGGGGAAGTGACTCTGAAGGTGGTATGATTGAGATCAAGGCTATGGTGGCTACCTTCACAGCGGATAATGAGCTGACACTGAATGACTTCAATCTCACTTATGATGCTGTCTTGCCAACAGGTGGCCTTGTAGGTGCCAAGGACCCAGACGGGAATGTCAATGGCTCAACGTTGCCCCTCTGCTCAAAATGACTCACAGCCAACATCTCACTGCCATGGCCTACTGACTCTGTTACAGGATCAGTAAATGAACCTGGGTGCAGTGGATAGAGCACGGACCCTGGAGTCAGGAGCACCTGAGTTCAAATCCGGCCTCAGACACATGACACTCACTAGCTATGTGACTCTGGGCACGTCATTTAATCCCAACTGCCTCACCAAAAAAAAAAATAAATAAAAATAGAAAAAGTAAATGAACCTGAGGAATAGCCATAAGCACAATTAGAATGATGGCTGAGTACTAGAGGCTAGATCTGTCTCTCTGAAGCCTAAAGTTCAGGGTCAGACACTTAGCTGTGTGACTCGGGACAAATCATTTAGCCTGAGTCTTAGTTTCCTTATCTGTGAGGAGGCTTTGGACTCAAGGTCCCTTCCAGTTCTAAATGGATGATCCTCTGGGTCCGCTTGGCTCCCCAAAGTCAGGAGGGGCTGAGGACAAGCTTAGGCAAGTCTGGTTATAGGTCTGGAGATCATAGGAGTTGGAGTTGGTATGGTACCTTAGAGATAATTCAGTACAAGTCTCACTTACAAATGGGGAAATTGAGGCCTAGCATGGTCAAGGAGCAGATAAGGCTGTGGCCAGATGATTTATTCCCCAGGAATCCTCCTTCCTCTAATTCCCCTGATGTCTCTCTGGCCCCTACTCTCCTCCCCATATCCTGCCAAGGTATATGATCTGTTACCTACAGACATACAATAGAAGACCTGGGTTTGAGTTCTGACTTGGATACTTACTGACTGTGTAACCTTGGACAATTCCCTTCCTTCCCTTGCTGCTATGTTATCTCCCCCATAAAATCAGATGATTAAAGCAGATATTCTTTAAGGTCCTTTCTAGCTCTGACATTCTAAGACTGTGAATTGCCCTGTGATGAGCACCCCACCACATACACATAAACAGTCTGCCCTCTGCCCGCCTTGTTCTCATCTGGACAGTCACTTTCCTCCAAGCGCTTCTACGTCCACAAACTGATACTATTCACATTGCTCCCTATGTGAGCACACACACACTCATGGTCACAAGATCCCTGGGCCACATGCACCCCTCCCATATCTACCCGCCTTCCAGGCTATGGGCACATGTATTTAAACAACGGTTTGCTCACAGCCAGTTGTCCCTAGGACTGCCCAAGAAAGACCACTTGCCTCTCACCTTGTGATGTCTTCTGTGAGCTGGGCTGGATCTGGAGGATAGAATTTGACTGTGAAGGCAAAATTCCAGGGGCCACCTGCAGGGAGGAAACAAGCAGGGATCAGAAATGTCCCCATCACTGTGGATGGCTCAGTCACACTTATGTCACCTCACGTATGACACCTGCTTTTTTTTTTTTTTGGCTAGGCAATGGGGTTAAGTGACTTGCCCAGGGTCACACAGCTAGTAAATGTTATGTATCTGAGGCTAGATTTGAACTCAGGTCCTCCTGAATTCCAGGGCCGGTGCTCTACCCACTGTACCACCTAGCTGCCCTGACACCTGCTTTTAATGTTTCAATGTGCCCTCATATAGATCACATCATAACAAGCCGATTAGGAAGACAGGGCAGAACTTTGTTATTCCTATTTTACAGATGTGAGAACTGAGACCAAGAGGTATTTGTTCATCACACAGGGATACGCTGGAGTGTATCAAGAAACGGGAGACCAGGATGGGGAGAGGACTCAAAATCAAGCTGAAGGAGGACCAGCCGAAGGAACTAAGGATGTTCCTTTCTGGAAAAGAGAAGCCTTAAGCGAGATGGAACTGCTGTCTGACAGCATATGACAAACTGTCACAGGGAAGAGACATAAGTGGCCCGTGAGAGCAGTGTGAGGAAGGTACATGGCAGCATATTTCAGTCCAGTATAAGGAAGATCATTCTAATGATCAGAGCAGTCCAGTGATGAAACAGACTGCTTCAGGGGGTAGTGAGTTTCATGTCACTAGGCATGTGCAATCAGAGTTAATATGGTATAGTGTCATAGAAACAGTCCTAGACTTGGAGGTAGGAATCTGGATTGGAATCCTGGCTCTGATATACTTGCTATATGACATTGGGTAAATCAGTTCCCCTCCTGAGCCTCAGTTTTCCTCACCTGTAAAAATATCACTTGTATTACATACCTCACTGGGTTATTTGTTGTGAAAATGCTTTGTAAACCTTAAAGTGCTCTAGAAATGTGAAGGATGATTATTGTTAGAAATACTGTAGAAGGAGTGCTCAAGGGTAGAGTAGATAACTTTTCGGGTGCCTTCTAATTCTAAGACTCTGTGAATCCTGCCTCCTCCAAGAAACCACCTCTGAGTGCTGCATCCCCCTTCAGCGACTCCCTTGTACAGCTCAGGTTTAGAAACTGATTCTCTGCTGTTGTGTCTTGTACTCCAGCCCAGGCATATTGGAACTGCTGTGTTTTCTTAGATAGGATGGGAGTGTCTCCAGAGTAGCTAGGAGCCCCAGCTGGGGCCTACACACAGGCCCTAATAAATCTCTTTGGACCACAGGAACCAAAAAGAACAATCCTTCCAAACTTCCCCCACCCCCACGCATGAGTGATAGCTAACATCTCCTGCCTGTCTCCCAGTTGTCATGGAAACAGACTCAGCTACAGCTTCCCAGCCAAAGGACTGGGGAGCTAGGGGGCTTATCTCTCCAGACACTAAGAAGCTAGACGTGGGGAGAATAGAGGGCATGGGCATTTTGCCACCAAGCCCACCCATCCCCTCTCACCTAGAAGGGCCTCCCTAGCCCCATCTGTCCAAAGACAGCCTGGCCTAGCCCCCACAAAATGGCAACTCCCTTTGGGATAAGGGGGTTCTGGCTCCCAGTTCTTTCCAAGGCTACAGATTTATAGAATATTTAGGTCATCTAGTCCAATAATTACAGAGAAACTGAGGCCCAGAGAGGGGACATGATTTGTCCAAGGTCATATAGAAAAATAGCTAAGATGGAAAGTAAATGCATATCTTTTGACCCTAAATGTAGGGCTCTTTTCACTATCAGCCTCTATCCCATGTCATGTGGAATAGCCCTAGCCAGGGGTGGGGGAACCTGAGGCCTCAAGGCCACATGTGACCCTCTAGGTCCTCAAATGCAACCCTTTCTCTAAATCTGCAGCCTCGAGGCCACATGAGGCAAGTTCCCCACCCCTGGAGACTGAGAACAAGAAGACCTGAGTTCTAATCCCAACTTCCCCAACTTACCACATGACCTTCCTCTTCTACAAAATAAGAAGCTAGGCTAGATGATGATGTCTAAGCCTCTAGCAGTCCGCGCTTTAAGGATGACTTTGATTTCTCCCTGGTGGAACTAGAGTCTCTCCTGCCTCCATGCATAATAAAGACGATAACGAGAGCTCTCACTTCTATAGTGTTTTAAAATCTGCAAAGCACTTTCCTCACCATAATCCAGTGAGGCAGGACGCAAGTATGGTTATCTTAATTTTATAGATGAGGGAGCTGAGTCCCAGAGAAGGGAACTGATTTGTCCAGGATCATTCTCATTTGGTAGCAGTGATGGAACTAGGATTTGAACTCAGGACTGACCCCCAGACTAGTGCTCTTTTCACATGGAGCCTCTGAATCTGCGTTACACACAATGCTTGACTAACCAGAATCCAGGTCAAAAGTGCCTTCAATTAACCAAGAATGTTTCCCTGCATTCCTCTATTCGGAATTGGGGGGAGATGACAAGAAAACAGGCCCAGACAAAAGAGTGACCCTTGAAGTAAACTAGGATTCATAGAATCATAGAATACCAGAACTAGGATCAGAGTTCTAGAGCTAGAAGTGACCTCAGAGGTCATCCAGTTTAACCCTCTCCTTTTACAGCTGAGGAAACTGAGATGAAAGGAGGTTAAGTCACCTGCCCAAGGTGACACAGGCAGTAAGTGGCAGAGCCACAATTTGAACCCGAGTCCTGATTCCAAAACCAATGTTCTTTCCAGCTAGAAAGACTCAGAGGCTGGTCAAGTCCAACTGTCCCATTTTACAGAGGAGGAAGCTAAAGCAGAGACAAAAGACTTCCTAGGGTCTCGCAGTCAGCAAGACAGTCAGAAGCTGAATATTCATCTCCTAGCTTTGGGGTCAAAGCTCTATCAGGACTTCCAGGGGAGTAGGGGGGAGATGGGGGAAGGGGTCCTAGGCTGTGACAACCATCAGCCCCTTCTATACAGAGTCAGACAAAAAGAATTCCCACTTAGAATGATCCCAGAGCCCTGCTAGAGTCTCTAGTTCCAGAAAGACTGACTGGTCTGGGCCCCTGTAGCAGCCCTGTTGATCCCAAGAATCTGACCAGCAGGAGGACCATTGGTAATCACCTCTTCCTTCCTGGATACTCTGCTCCCTTGGATTCCGCAACTCAGCCCTCTTTGATTCTCTACCCACCTATGTGGTTGCCCTCTGTTACCCTTCATTAGATCATCATCCATCTCCCACTCTTAGCCCCTAACCACCGGTTCTCCCAAGATTCAGTCCTGAGCTCTCTTCCCTTCTCTCTTTCCTTTAGTGATCTCATTGATTCCCCTATGTTCAATTAACAGCTCTACACGGATGACATCTAAATCTGTATCATAAAACTACAGGTTCTTAGAGTGACAAGGGACCTTAGAGGCCACAAATCTAGCCTTCATGTCTCTTCTCAACTATAGATTCATCCCTCCCAACTCTCTGGACAGATCCTCCAAAATACCCCATTGGCACTGTAAGCTCAACATGTTCAAAACAGAACTCCTCATTTCCCCCCACTAACCTCCCCTGCCCAAAACCTCTTCCTCTCCCAAATTTTCCTATTTCTGTGAAGGGTTTCAAGATCCTATTAGTCACATAGATGGACAACCTTGGAATCACCCTTCACACTTCCCTCCTCCTAACCTTACCCAACCTACCACTCTCATCCAATTGATCACCAAATCTTATCAATTCTACCTTCATATCCATTCATTTCTTTCCACTCATACTACTACTCTCTTAAGCCCTCATTGCCTCTCCTTGGTATTACAGTACCATTAGTACAAATGGTGAACACATTATTTGAAGTTAAAGTTGTATCAAATACAGTAAATAGTTCCAGTCCAATGGAATGAAGTGTAAGTTAAATATTATTATTATAGTATATAATATATTATATTGATTTGCTCATTATCATCTCTGTTTCCAGTTGCTCTTCTTTGTAATTCACTCTCTACAGCTGCCAAAAGGCCATCGTCGGACCATATCAAAATTCTGACCCTGCTCAAAATTCTTCAGTGGCTCCCTATTGGCTCTAGGATGAAATGCAAACTGCTCAGCCTGGTTTTTAAAGCTCTCTATAACCTGGCTCCAAACACCAATTCACTCCACATTACTCTCCTTCAGGCACTTAGGTTCCAGCCAAACTGAATGACTAGCTGTGACTCAGACTTAACAGCATTCCATTATATCCCACCTCTGGGCCTTTGCAGAAGATATTCTGCATGCACTCTCTCCCCATCTCTGTCTTTCAAAATTATTATTACCATTCAAAGTTCAGTTTCAGTGCTACCTCTCTATAAAAGCTTCCCTGATCCCCTCCAGTTGTTAATTCTTGCCCTTGCCCCTTCCTCCCCTGCCCCTCACGCTCCACCCCACCAAGAATTATCTTTCACTTCTTTATCTGGGTATATATCATATCCCTCAAATGGAAGGTAGGCTCCTTTTCCCCTCAAATGGAAGGTAGGCTCCTTTTTAGGACAGAGACTATTGTGTTTGCACCTTTATTATCCCCAGCACCCAAGACAATCCTTTGTGCAAAATAGGCACTTGATAAATGTTTGTTGAATTCAAGAATATCCTGAGATGAAATTTCTATTCTGGGCACCTCTCATTTTCACAAAGTTTTTCTTTACATTGAGCCTAATCCCATCTCTCTGCAGCTTCTATTGAAGGTCTAGCTCTGCCATGAAATGAACCATGTGACACTGAATAAATCCTTTTCCTTTTCAGATCTCCAGTCCCCAAATTAGGACCTGACTTTTTGCCTTTGGGGGATGGTCCAATGACCAAATGATATAATGGATGTGAAGTTCCTTTAAATACCTAAGTATCTGGCTGGCTGGAAGTAGCCCAAGACTCATCTACTCAAGGGGCCAAGTTCCAACCCTACCCCATCTTTGAGCCTCCCCATACATCTAACACTGGGATTTGGTGGATAGAGCATCAGGAAAACCTGAGTTCAGATCTTGAAGTTTCAGATCTGAAATTTACCAATTGTGTGACCATAGGCAAGTCACTTATAACTTCTCTGAGCCTCTCTTTCCTTATCTATAAAATGGGTATGTTGATACCTGTTGCACCTATCTTAGAAGACGGTTGTGAGGATCAAATGAGAAAGTATATAGAAAGCTCTGCACATTTTAAATGGCTGTATCACTGTCATTTATCATCATCATCATCATCATCATCACCAACAACACTCCACCTGCCCCACCACAATCTTTGGTCTTCGTTCTACTCACTACGTATCTGTTTCTTGATTTCCTTGGAAGGGTCCAGCCAGTTCTAAAAAAGAAAAGAGAGATGCTCAGAGGGAACAATGAAGGAGGAAAGGAAGAAGTGAGGCTAAGAAGGGGTCAGTAAATCATAAATTGCAAATCATAAAACTTGACCTGCTGGTCCTACTATGAGACCTTTTCCTTAAGGATGTTATAAAATTCCTTTATCTGATCATAACCTCCCACCATTCATTCTTTCCCTCTGCCTTACTCTTCCTGAACCAGTTCACCTCACTATGACCTCAATGCTTTCACCTCTCAGTACTTTCCCAGCCAACAACCCTGTTCTGACTTTCACTTACCTCCCTTCCTAATCTCAACCTTATAATTAACCAGTTCAACTCTACATTGTCCTCTACTCTTGAATCCCTTGCCCTATAGCCCTGTCACCACCTATGTCTTGCCAAAACCCAACCCTGGATTACTCCCACCTTCCACTTCCTTCCTTCCTACTCATATGCTCCTGAACAGAGCTGAAAGAAATCCTAAGGCTTGGAGATTGAGTTCCCTAACAATTTATGTTAATATCAGTTGGACCCTTGCTAATGCAAGGCAATATCTATATCTATATCTATCTATCTATCTATCTATCTATCTATCTATCTATCTATATCTATATATATATTAGACACTACCATCCCCTCAAGCTATCATCCTTTATCTTTCCTCCTTTTCTCAGTCAAATTCCTAGAAAAAGCTCCCTTAATTCCTTACTTCTGCTTCTTTTTTAACTCTCATCTCAACCCCTTGAAATCTGGCTTCAGACTTCATCATCCACCCCTCTGGACTTCTCTGCTGCATTTGACACTCTTGACTGCCATCTCTTCCTGGACACCCTCTTCATTGCAACATTTTGCAGACGCTACTTCCTCTTGGAATCTCCCCCATGTGGTGACCACTCCTTTTCAGTTTCCTTTGCTGGGCCATTATCCATCATATACCCTAATGGTATATATACCCCAAAGCCTTGTCCTTGGCTCTCTTACTCAATCACATGGTGACCTCATCGCTCTCATGGGTTTAATTATCATCACTACACATTGACTTCCAAATCTACATACATAGATATCTACATACCTGCCCCTCTATCCCTCCTAAACTAGAGTACTGCATCACCAACTGCCTAATTTTGAACTGGCCATCCCATATAAAGGAGAACTCACTAACTTTCCTCCCAAACCCACACTTTCAAACTTCCTTATTTCTGTGTAGCAGTTGGCACAGTATCTGGTGCATAGGAGGCATTTAACAAATGCTTACTGACTTGATCTTATTATAGGATGCTATCATCCTTTCAGTCACCCAGGTTCCCAATCTTGGACTCCTCACTGTCTCTCCAACATATCCAATGGATAGTTATCTCGATGTCTATGTGCCATCTCTCCCATCCATCTATCCCTTTCTCTCTACTCATATAGCTACCACTCCAGTTCAGACATTATGACCTGTCATCTGGACTACTGCAATAGCTTCCTAATTAGTCTTTAGGCTCTCAAGTCCTTCCTCCTCTTCCAGGAAGCTGGCAAAGTGACTTTCCCTCAGCAAGACTGAGACCATGTCATTCCCCAATTCAACTCCAATGGCTCTAGGATCAAATTTCACAACCTGGTTGGTCCTAACCTACCTTTCCATTCTTATTGCACAGTACTCCCCTTTATGCATGCTATGATCCAGCCAAACTGACCTTCTTGGTATTTGTTATATGGAACATTCCATTTTCCACCTGCTTGTTTTTGGACTGGATGTCGTCCATACTTAGAATGCACTCCCCACTCACCTCTGCCTCTTACGATTCCTAGTTTATTTCCTTAAAAACACAGCTTAAGTGCCACCTTCTACATGAAGCCTTTCCTGATCACCCTCTCAGTTGCTAGTACATCTCTTGCGGCAAAGTTACTTGTATTTATTTTGTGCATACTTACATAAGCACACATTGTCTCCACATATAAAATATAACCTTCTTGTGCTTAGAGGCTGTCAGATTGTCTCATCTTTTTTTCCTTTTTATCTCCAGCACTAAGTGCAATACCCAGCACACAGCAGGTGTTTAAAAATGCTTGTTAACTGACTAGCATGGTGCCTGGCATATAGTAGGTGTTTAATAAATTATGGTTGATTGATTAAAAAAAGTGACTCATTGGTCACATATATCAGTCATTCCTAATGGCTTTGTCTGTAATTGTGGGGGAAAAAAAACAAGTCAACGGTCTATATGTCCAATGATTGGGGAATGGCTAAACAAATTATGGTACATCAATGTACTGTAAAATTATTGTTCCATAAAAAAGTAACATATAAAGAAACATGAAAAGACGTCTAATGAAAACGGAAGGAAAAAGAATTAGAATACACAGAATGACTATACATAAAAAAAACCTCTCTGGCCCTTGCTTGGGTTGTTTCCTATATGCTCTTTTACTGGCTGAATTCTACTTACCCTTTAAAGTCCAACTCAAGTACCACCCTTTCCAAGAATCAATCAACAAACATTTATTAAGTGCTTACTATGTGCCAGGCACTATGCCAAGTACTTAGGAGACAGAGACTAAAATGAAATGATCCTTGTCCCTCAGGGGTATACATTTTATACTGGGGGACAGACACCATGAGTACATAAGTTTATGTATAAATATATATATTTATAAGATTCTTACAAAATGAATACAATGGGAGAGAGTGGGGAGGTGCTAGAAGCCCAGGGAACTGAGAAAGGCCTCCAGTGGGAGGTGGTACTTGAGAACACAGATTCCAAATGGTCAAGTGGAGGAGAAAGTGAATTCCAGGCAGAGATGGGAGATGGAATGCTATGTATGAGGAAGAGCATCAAGTCCGGTTTGGCTAGAACAGAGAGTCTGTGAAAGCGAATAATGTGTGCTAAGCCTAGAAAAGTTTTATTATTAACTGAGCTGGGCAGGAAGGTGAAGGAGGAAATGAAGACCTGGGATCATTAGGAATGCTGTCCTTATGAGTCCATATGCGCAGCCTCAAACGGACTTCTCTCCCTCTGCTGCTCCTCCCATACCCCACCCTTCAGCACTGAACAACATTCCAACCCCTAAAAGCATCTGCACTTTCCCATCTCAGAGAGTTCTGCTGGAGCTGCTTGGAGCCCAGCTCCTCCCTACTATCAAATGACTACCCCTTCTTTAGCCTTTTCTGAGGCCCCCCCAGCTGAAAATGATCTCCCCTCTTTTTTAGCTCCAGACTCCCTCAGGCCTCCTTTATCACGCTCTATTGTGCATAATAGATCTCTTTGTCTTATCTCCCTCTAGTAGCTGCTGCTTTGTTGCACCCCCCCCAACTTCCTCTTCCCTAACCAAGGGCTCTGTGAGGTCAGAAAACAGGTCTGTTTCATCTATCCTCTCTTCCCAGTCCCTGAAAAGAGCAAAACACAGGGTCCTACACATAGTAGGCTGTTTGCTAATGAATGAGGTATTTGGGGAATGGAAATGAAGGAGAAAGGGAGATGGTCAGGGAGGGGCTTGTAGCCAGAGGAGGGAGAGGATGGGGAGACCTCAAGGAGTCAGGAGGCTCCCTAGGCCCGGTCCTTAATTCCAGTACCTTCTGGCTGTCTGGGTCACAGAAGGTCAGCCCAAAGTAGTCCTTCTCCAAGAGGTTGAGGTGTTCACAGACCATGTCGAAAAGGACCTGCCCTCGGCCATGTTTCTGTGGATAGAGACACAAATGGCGTCAGGGAGTCAGCAAAGTAGGGCACCCAGGTGGTGGCTGGGGGCAGCTATTTCCAGAGTTCCCCAGGCATGGGCCGCTGCCAACCAGTTCAAGCCAGTGCCAAAGGGGTGAGCAGCATGACGACAATGAATGCCCTGCCCATCATATGAGAGAGTAGTCACCCCTCTCCACTTCAGGCCTAAATCCTGAGTGGCCCTAAGGACGAACAGTAGCACCAGAGGGGCCTCCACCCAGCCCTTGGTCCAGCATCCAGGCTCCCAGGAATATTCCTAGCTTCCCCACAAAGCTCCTCCCAGGCTCGTCCTGGGCAGCCTACATAGCTCTAGAAAGGGCAAAGCTCCACCTTCTTTGGAACAGATAGGAAAATGAACTTATGCTCCTTCTCTAAGTGACAAAGTGGATAAAGTACTAGGTCTGGAGTCAGGAAGACCTGAGTTCAAATCCAGTTTCAGACACTTACTAGCAATGTGACTCTGGGCAAATCACTTAATTTCTGTCTGCCTCAATTTCCTCATTCTATAAAATGGGGATAAATAATAACACCAGGGGCAGCTAGGTGGTACAGTGGATAGAGCACAGGCCCTGGAGTGAGGAGGACCTGAGTTCAGGTCTGGCCTCAGACACATAACACTCACTAGCTGTGTGACTCTGGGCAAGTCACTTAACCCCAGTTGCCTCACCAAAAAAATAATAATAATAACAACACCTACCTCCCAGGGTTGTTGTGAGGATCAACTATCAAGATAAAATTTGTACAGTGCCTGGCACACAGGAGGGGCTTAGTCAGTGTTAATTCCCTCCCTTCCCCCCTCTCTGAGCCTCAGTCTCCCCATCTGTACAATGAGGAGGTGGGATGAGATGATCTCTAAGATCCTTTCCAGCTCTAATACTGAATCAGCAGAGAGACCAGGACTGATTTTCCCACCCACGGCTCCAGGCCCAATTTAGTATCTTCTGGCCCTACCTCCACCTCACACTCATATTCTGAGGCATCCAGCAGGGTCACATGGCAAATGGCACTCTTAAATTTCTTGGCGATCTTCTGGGGAGATTTCTGGGTCTTGCTGGGTGTTGTCCTGTCAGAGAGGCCATCGGTCTCCACATAATCCTTTTCCTCCATGTCGAGGCCCTGCAGATCAGCATCAACACAAAGGACTTGTTATCACAGCCTCCTTCGATCTTGGGGGAAAGAGGCTTTCCTGTCTCTCTGAGAGAAAGTAAGCTACTTGAGGGCAGAACTGTTAACATCTTTGTCTTGGTATTACCAGCACCTTAGCACAGTACCAGAAACACAGCATGTGCCTAATAAATGTGCTTTGATTAAGTGACTGACGGGGAGATAAGCCACGGACTGGGAGCCAGGGGTCCTAGGGTCTATTCCTGACACCACTAAGAAACCCTGAGCAAATCCATCATCCTCCCAGGCTTCTGTTTCTATCTTTGTAAAATGGTGATAATAATTCCAGCTCGATTTCCCTCCCAGGACAACTGAAATGGAAGTTTTTGGCAAACACAGCACCAGAGAAGTGGGAGTCAGCCCTCCCATTAGGCTGTAAGCTCTGGGAGGGCAGGGGCTATTTTACTCATCTTTGTCTCCCCTCAAACACAGAGCACTGGAGGTAATAAGTCAACAGGATGGTTTCAAGCAATCTGAAGGGAAAAGGCTAAAACTTTCATGGAATCTGAGACTCATAGGATCTTTGAGTAGGAAGAGGACATCTAGGTAGGTGTTGGGCAATAAGCCTCTCGGACCCAGAGCAACTCTTCTACAGCTCTCGTCCACTAGTGGTCTTCAGTCACCTTTTGAGGCTCAAGTTCCCAACATCTCTTGAGCAGCCTGCCCCATTGCTGGACACCTCTGGACATTTGTCAAGTTCTTCCTTATATGGGACTAAAAATGTGGGCCTGGACCTCTCCCACTTTGCTTCTAACTCTGCTCTCTGGAGCCAAACTGAACACGCCTGATCCCTCTTCCACATTCCTAGCTGTTTGTGCTAGAAGACAGCCAACATGTTCCCCATCAAATCTCTTCTCTAGGCTTGTCCTGCTTAGCTTCAGAAGGCAAAACTAAAAGTATTAGGGGAGAAGAGAGGCAGGTCCAAAGGACCTGGATTTCAGCTCAGCATATGGAAGAATGTTCCAAATCTTAGCTGTCTAATGATAGGGTTAGATGATCTTGGGAGAAAGTGAACTCCCCATCACAGAACATCTTCAAGCCCAGGGGGCATGACTACTTCCTGCTCTTAGAGATCCTTTCCCACTCAGACATTTCAGTCTAAAATTTAAGGATTCTTCTCTGAGTTATAGTTTTTATAAAGGAAAACATATAGAACTAAAACATGTGCTAATGCTACATTCTTCCTCAGTTGTTCACACCTAGGGTGGGAATCCCTTCCTTGGGGATCTTTTTGGTCAAAGCCTGACACCATTTTGTACCAGGTGGCAGATACACAGTGTGTGGGCTAAGGCCTCAACTGGCTCACTGTGTGACTTCAAATGCCTCTAATGCCAGTTTGGGCTCCTTAGCCCAGGGATTCTTAATCTTCTTTGCTATCATGGATCCTTTGGCATTCCGCTGATGCCTTGTCAGAATAATGTTTATAAACATATAAAACGCTTAGGATTACAAAGGAAACCAATTATACTGAGACACAGTTATCCAACTATTTTTCTTTTCTTTTCTTTTTTTTCACCCAACTATTTTTCTAAAAGCTTTTGGATCCCAGGTTCAGAACACCCTCTTTAAGTAAATGTGAGCACTTGCAGAAACCCATGTGTTCTTCTGTTTTGCCTTTGGTGAAATTAGGTTGGATGATACATGGACCTGGAGAACTAACCTGGGCAGAAATCTCTTCTGGGTGTGCAGGGCGAGACAATGGCCTTGGAGAAAGGAAACCCAGATTCTCTGTCTCTATGACCTTTCCTCCTCTGAACCTCAGTTTCTTTTTCTGTAAAATGAGGAAGTTGGATCTAATCCAAATTAGAGCTCTAAGGCTCCTTCAAGCTCTGACATATCATTCTTTTAGAGTTGTGAAATCAGTTCACCTGGGTGTACTCTGATGCTAGCTGTGTGACTATGGGCAAGTCATTTAATCTCTCTGTGCCTCAGTTTCCTCATTTGTAGATAAGGATAATAATGCTTGTGGTACCTATCTCACAAGGTTGTGATGAGATATAAATGGCAATGTATGCAAAGTACTTTAGAAAACTTTAAAATTTTATATTAATCAGATATTATTATTAGTCCCAGCCTCACCAGTGACTCCCTCTGTGACCTTGGATTAAGTTCCTTCTACTCTCTGGGTCTCAGTTTCCTTATTCGGAAAAATGATGATCTCTAAGGTCCTTCCCAGCTCTGGTCTTCTAGGAATTTAGTTTATTTTCATAGAATTAGACTGATTTGAATTGTTTCCAGTGAATAGTTCATTAAGCCAGAGCAGGAAGGCTTGAGGAGAACCGGTATCCCATTGGTACACAGAGCAGAAAAATTGTATTCTCAGCATCCCTGCTGGCCATGGGGTTTGGAAGAAGGACCTGTGGCCAGCCCCAGGCACACAGTGAGGCCCTTTGGCAACTCAGGACACTCACCTGCTCCACGTGCCTGGGATCAGGCTGGGTGCCCTGCTTCTCGTTGGAATTAGCCTCAGGATGGCCAGCAGGGCCCGTGGGGGCTGCGGTGGCAGGGGCCTGAGAGGCCGAGGCTTCAAGCTGCTGTGGGGGTTGGGGTGGAGGGTCTTCCTGTGCTTTCTTCACCTCAGCATCAGGACCTGTCTCCATTGTCATGGTGACCAGAGAGCCTGGGCAGGCATAAGCGAGGGCACAAGATGGGAGTGAGAGGCATGGAAATAATGGTGATGGAGGGGCGGGAGGGGCAGGAGCCACAGATGGAGGGAGGGAAAGAGACAGATGGAGGCAGATGGAGAGTCACAGGGAGGGACAGAAAAGACCAAGGGAAGAGAAAGACACAGAAACAGGTTAGCAGAGGACAGACCCTTAGACCTACAGGCCGGACTCCTAGCCTAAAGCCTCTGGGACAGGATGCTTTTCTAGCTTGTGATGACAAGCTCTCCCATAGGGGACAACCACTTTTTGGTGAAGCATAAGGAGCCCTGTACTAAGAGTCACAGGACCCGAGTTTTACCATTCCCAGTTCTGTCACTGACTTACTAAGTGACCTTGGCCAAGTTATTTTCCCCTCTGAGTCTCAATATTCTCTCCCTAACTGGAGAATAAAAAACAAGAATTGCTTGAGCATTTATAACTTAGCCAAACACTGAGGATACAATGAAAGGCAAAAACATGGTTCTGTCCCTGCCCTCAAGGAGCTTACATTCTAATGGGAGAGATGTAAATAACCAGATACAAAAAAGATACACAGAGACTTAAGGTAAGGCACTCTCAAGAGGAAGGCACTAGTACCAGGGACTAGGAAAGGCCCCTTGGCAAAAGGTAGGATTTGGGCTTCATCTTGTTATTAACTGATGCGTCACATTAATGGCAGCTAACCCTGTGCCTCACAGTCTTCTACAGGTGCCACATTATGGCTTCAACCTCCACAGCACAACCACCCCCCTTCTTCGCCTGGGCCCTGGACACCACCTCAGAGCCACAGCACCCCTCTCCCGAGGCCCAAGGCTCACCTTTCCCCATTTTCATACTCCCTACCTTTCCCAGCTATGCAACAGATTGGCTAACTTAACTCTCTAGGTAACAGATGGGCCATCCCTAAGTACAAGAGGTGGTCTCATCACTGCTGGCCTTGATACTAAGACCAATCCTCAATCTTCCCAAAGTCTGCCCCCTATCAACTGAATATGACACAGTTGCTAGCAACAGCTCTGTGCCTACTGGAATCAGAGAAGGGAAGCGGTGATACTGGAGAAGGACATGGTAATATTAGGTAGGTGATAGATTTATCCAACAGTCCTTCTATTTGGTCCTATCTGCTGACTCTTACAGACCCTAAGTGGCGCTCTAAGAATCCAGTTCCCTCTCTACTGCAGCACAGAAGGTAAGGGTAACAGGAGTGGGGAGCCTGTGGCCTCAGGGCCACATGTGGTCTTCTAGGTCCTCAGGTGTGGCCTTTTGACTGAGTCTAAGTTTTACAGAACAAATCCTTTTATGAAGGGAATTTGTTCTGTGAAGTCTGGATTCAGTCCAAGGGCCACACTTGAGGACCTAGAGGGCCACATGTGGCCTCGAGGCCACAGGTTCCCCACCCTTGGATAGCAGCTCTATACTACCAGTTTGGCCCCTTCTATTCATCTCTGGACTCCCCAAGTTCTAAGTTTGCACCCAGCAGCCCAAATAAAAGGCCCATCTCTCAGCCTCATCCAAAAATAGCTTTCACACTAAGGTCTGCTTTCACATTCATTCTCATTCTGTGGCTGGCCATTTTCCGTGGGGACAGAACTGACTCTCACACTTTTCTCTGACCCTCACTTCTCCTACGGCCTATGGCTGGGCACACAGACTGATCCAACTTGCTATGGGGGTACCCTCATGTTCAGTGAAAGAAGGACAAGTTCTCTGATATGACCACCCTTCCCTGCCCCATCCACATCAACATGCCTTAAATGGCACATTAATTACAACTGTACACCCTTTAGAATGGCACATAAGTGATTATGAAATGTTGGTTCAACTGCACAGAAGTCAAACTTTCATTCACTATCTCATGACCTGGAACCCCCAATTAACCACAACCTCATAACATAGAACTCTTGGTCAACAACCCCATGATCTAGAATCTTCAATGAAAGACAAGTTTGAGACCTAGAACCCATGGTTAACCTGTGATCATTTCTTTATACTTCACTGTGAGCAGAGAAAACCAGATTAGCAGGGGGCTGAGGAAACCTCCAATTTTATCTTGTAAAGGTTTAGTAATACATAAATAAATGAATAACTCCCAGACTCAGGCTACCCAATCTCCTGTACCTGTCCAATTCCCCCTCTAGCCAGGATGGGAAAAATTCATATATATTCATTCAATAGGCATTTATTAAGCTACTACTATGTTCTAGGCACCAAAAATACAAAAACATCAATTCCTGCCCTCAAACAGCTTGCATTCTACTGTTCACAAAAATAACCTTGATGCCCTAAATAACCTCCACTCTCTCCACTCCACAGCTTAAAGCACAAAAGAGGCCTCAATCATAAAGAAATATTTTCTAGACTGTAAGCTCCCTGAAGACAGGGATCAGATGTTCTTCATCTTTGCCTCTTCCACTTAAACCCAGCACTGAGCCCAGCAGAGAATTGTTATTCGGTCATTTTTCAGTCATGCCTGACCCTTTGTGGCCCCATTTGGGGCTTTCTTGGCAAAGATACTGGAGTAGTTTGCCATTTCCTTCTCTAGCTCATTTTAGAGATGAGGAAACTGAGGCAGACATAGTTAAGTGACTTGCCCGGGGTCACACAGTTAGTGTCTGAGGCCAGATTTGAACTCAGGAAGAGGAGTCATTTTGACTTCAGGGTCTGCAATGTATCCACTGCTTCACTTAGCTGCCCCTGCAGAGAGTAGGTGATCAGTACAGATGATAAGAATCCCCATTTCAAATCAAAACAAGTCTGAAGTTTCCCTTAAACTCCGGAAAATTGGCCAAGATGACAAGACAATAGTCGATGTTGGTCAGGCCATGGAAGACCTGCTAATGTGCACTTAATAGAGTTGTGAATTGGTCTAACCATTGAGGAAACAATTTGGAAATATTCTCACAAAATGATTAAAATGTTCATATTCTTTAACCCAGATATTCCACTGCTGGACATATGCCTCAAGGAGATAAAAGATAAAAAGAAAGGTCCCATATTCACCAAAATACTTATAAAAGAACATTTTGTAGTACCAAAGAACTAGAAAAAGTTGACGTCCAATAACCAGAGACTAGGTAAACCAATCGTGGTACGTGAATGTAATGGAGTATTACTGTGCTATGAGAAATGGTAACTATAGGGGAACACAGGAAGACTTATAAGAACTGATGCAGAGTGAAGTAAGCAGAGCCAGGACAACAGTGTACACAATGACCACAAGAGAAATGGAAAGCATAACAAAGCCACCATTGAAACCCAATGCAGTGAGATTATAATGACCAAGCTTGGCTCCAAAGAAGAGATAAAAAGGCCCCTCCCTCTCTCCCTGGTGGGGCGATGGGGCAGCAGAGGAGAAGTGTGATGTGGAACACTACAGATAATAACAGTCTTTTTCAATGTATGGGTTAATTTTGCTGAACTGTTTTGTTTTTCTCCCCCTCATTTGTATTCTTTGTTTTAAGGGATAGCTGTCTGGGAGAAAGAGGTAGTGTATATTGGGAAATGTAGGTGATGTTTAAAAAAAAAAAGATACCAATAAATATTTATTTAAAAAATAATAGTTCCCATTTGTATTGTGCTTTATATATGTAATCTTCTTTGCTCCTCTTGACAGCTCTGCGATGTTAGACGGTACCACCATTATTCTTTTTTTAAGATAAGGAAACTGTAGCCCAGGTAGAAGAAAAGATTTGCTCAGAGTGGAACATCTTGTGAATAGCTAAAACTGAGACGGAAAGCCAGATCTCCAAACTCCAAGGTCACTGCTCTCATGACAAGATGCTGCACTGGCCATGTGGTGTGGCACAGAGAGGCAGCAGAGGCTGATGGAGAGAGCTCTGGACTTAAAGCTAGCACAGCAGCATTCAAGCCTGCCTCCTCCAAGAACTCACTGGGTGACTTTGGACAAGTCATTTCTCCTTCCGATTCTAAATTCTGTGCTCTTTTCTCTAGATCCACAACCAGGAGAAGCAGATACTGTAATATATGTGACAAGGGCTGCCTCCCCTCAGGCCTCATCTGCTGAGACAGAAAGCAAAACAGAACTTACTATCTTTCCCCTAAACCCACATCTTTTCTGAACCCCCATATTTCTGCTGAAGATACTACCATCCTCCCAAGTGTCCATCTTCTGGTCTTATCTGTTCCATTAAAATGGCCCTCCATTGTTCTTCCCTGCCTCAAGTCTCTCTCTGCTCCAATCCATCCACCACACAGTTGACAGAGTGGTTTACTTGACGTGATGTCAGACCACGTCACTCCCCTACTTAATAAACTGCTCTGGCTCCCTACTGCCTCCAGGATAAAATAAAGCTTGTCTTTTTAAATCCTTCACCATCTGCCTCCAACCAAAGGAGGCCAAATAGGATTTCTTGCTCTTCCTCATCCACAGTACCCCATCTTCCATTTCCATGTCTTTGCACTGACCATTCCCCATCCCTAAATTGCACTCCCTCCACCTCCACCTCATAGAATCCCCTTCTTCCTTCCTTCAGGTCCCAATTCAAGCTTCATCTTCTATAGCAAGGCTCCCCTGAACCCCATCCCTCCCTATTTTATTTTGTTTTTTAAATTAAATTTAATTTTTATATGTGTTTATTGTGTAAATGCTTATATACACACAAGAGGACATGTTGTCATCCCTGATAGAATGTGTCGGGAGAACAGGGATGATTTCATTTTTGTCTCTGTAGCCTGAATGTTAGCTAATTATAGCTAACATTTACATAGATAGCACTAGAAGGTTTGTAAAGAGCTTTCTACTTGAGTGTATAGATGTATATATAACCTCCTAACTTCTCAGAACACATTTATAAATGCTTATTGATTGAGCAAGGATGCTCTCTCCCCACTACCCTGCTTATTATATCCCCGTTATTACCCAGGGATGACAGATGGGACCTTACTTATGCTATTCATCATTTTAAGTCAGGCAGTAATGTTACCCCCACATGCCAGCCCTTCAGGTCAGTACAATGAAGTAACCCAGACACCCAGTAGGCATTTGTTATGTACTAGGGTTTGGTTAAGCACCAAGTCCCATAGATGTCTCTGGAGATCATGCAGCTACATTTGGCCAGAAAATTTTGAGCTGAAAAGGACCTTAGAAATCATCATCTACCTCCTTCATTTCATAAATTTCCTAAGACCCAGAGAGAAGTAAGATGCTCAAGGTCACACAGGGGGAGTAGAAACCAGCAGAGCTGAGGGTCAAACACATCCCTGCTGCTCTGTTATCTCACATGTATCACAACAGTGACCATCCTAAGAACAGTAATTAACACCATATAGTTCCGTAGTCAACCTCATTTTTATATCCCTATCAAGCAATTAATAACAATAAGTCATATTTGTAGAGCTCTTTAAGGTTTACAAATTACATATATTACCTTATTTGAGCCTCACAATAATCCTGTGATATAGGTGCTATTATTATTACCCTCATTTTACAAATGAGGAAACTTAGGTTCAGAAGGAAGGTGACTTGCTCAGGGTCACACAGTGTCTGACGCAGAATTCAAACTCAGGTCCAGCCCTCTATACATAACACTGCATAGATGACCATGCATATGTCACTAACCCTCAGACCCTCTGTTCTTTCATTCGAGAGGAGAGAGCTTTGTAAACCTTAGAACTCTATAGAAATATGGCCTATTATTACTTGAGTCTTCATATATGGAAAGAAGACTAGGGTGAGAGTCTGGAGACCTGGGTTCTAGTCCCAAGGTTTGCCTGTTAATTCACTGGGTAAGTAGAGCATTTCTTTGGGCATTGATTTCTTCTTCTGTAAAATGATGACAATCATTCTCACACTGCCTGCTTCAGAGGGGTGTCTGGAGACACTGAATGGGAAACTTGGAAAAAAATATATAACGAGTTCTATGAATACTAGGGATGATATTTCAGCGTCTGGTAGACTCAAGTCTGCCAGGCAAAGGGACTCAGGGCTGGGCCTGGGCACCAGGCAGCACCCATCTATTCCTGGGGCTCACAGTATCCATGGGGAGGGGGTTGGCACACACTGACTCTAGTGAAGGCTCCATCTGGCCATGGGCACACAGCCTCCTCTGTTATCTCAGGCTCAGGGCTAAGGACACTGAGCTCTCCCACTAGCCTCCCCTGGGGGATTACCGTTGGCCTCTTTAGGCCCCTATCACTGACCCTTTGCGGTGGTGGGGACAACACTCTTGGATGGGGTGAAGCTGTCTCAATCCAACATGAAATTCAAGAGGCTGTGGGAGAGCCCACCTCCCAGAGGTCTTCCTCTTTTTGAGAGAGAGAACTCAATTGAGCAAACCTGAGATTGAACCCAAAGATGCCATATGGTGGGGGAGTGCTGAGGGCAGAGTCTGAGGTCTTTGCAAGAAAAACAGACTGGTTAAGAGAAGCCTGACTGACTGGCAAAGCCTGAATGGCAAAATTACAGCATGTCAGAGCTTAATGATTATTTCACCCAATCCCATCAGAACTAGAACTGAAATCCCAGGCTATCAATTGCAACTCCAGTATTCTTTCCACAACCACATCGATAGTCTATATCTATACCACCTGAGGGACCCCATCAGTCCTCCTCATTCTGTGCCCCCTGACACCCCATGTGTGGTCCCTAACCACACCACCTCCCCCACCAAGCACTAGGACCAATGCCCAGTCAGAGAGAAGCCAAGACATGACCCAGAGTAGTCAGGACAGAAAGTCAGTCTAGAAACCGAAATAAGAGAGAAGGAAGGAGGAAGATGGAAAAGGACCTAGATCCTGGGAGGGCTTAGGCCTGCAGACCCACACAAATAAAACTCACAGGACATAGAAGCCAGGTTATTCTTGAGTTTCTGAACCTTTAGTACGAAGGAAAAGGCCAGAGAGGACAAGACCTAGGGAGCCCAGCACCCAGCCAGGCTTCATTCCAGATCCCAGGCTCCATCGGTAGAGCCAAGGACCCTGTCCAACCCTCCCCACCTCCAGCAACTCTAACCCAAAGCACGCAGGAAATAGACAAGGGGATTGGGAGACAGAAAGAGACAGCAAAAGACAAAAAAAAGACAAAATTCTTCCTCCCTCCCCCAGAGTCTGCAAACTCCAGCCTTCCCACCCTGCCTCCTCCAGAGGTCCACCAGGACCCAATTTGCTTACTCACAGCAAGTTACCTCCCCAGCTGGGCCATCATTCCTACCTGGGGCTGGGCCATCCCCATCCTGGGAGGGGAGGGGAAAGACTTCTTGGCTCTGTTCTCCTCCAGGGTTGGGGGGCTGCCCCACTCAAGGGCGGGGGAGGGGGAGCTCCCTCCGCAGAGCAGGCTCAGCTCTCAGACACCCCCGCTTGCTCCCCGTTCACTCGTTCCCCCACTGGCGGGGAGGGTGATTGATGCTGACTGCAGTCGCAGCAGCTCAGCCTGATCAGGGAGCTGGGCGATGTGCCCGCAGCCCACAGCCCTGGGGGCCTGGTGCTGGACAGGCTGCCAACCTTCTCCCCTCCCAACCCCCCCAGCTCCGCAGGCACTTGATGGCCCAGCCCAGCCCAGCCCAAAGGGAAGCTGGCCACGTGCAGGCTGCATCAGCTCCGTGCTCTGACTTTCCACCCTCCTTCAGACCTCTGCCTCTCTCTATCTCTTCCTCCACAGTTCTCCTTTATCTCATTCTGCCTCTCCCCATCTCTGAATCTCTAGATCTCTCAAAATCATTTGCAAAGGACTTGAGCAGCACGCAGTCTAGTTCAACAGCTCCTTGTCTCTCTCCCAAGGTTTTGTACCAGTGTCTCGCTGTTTCTGTCTCTCCTTCATCCCTCTGCCTCCCATCCCAGAAAATCCTAGAATCTCAGAGTAAGAAGTCCCTTTAAAAGTCACCTGGTCCAGCCTGCACTTCCTTTCTCTGCTCTTCTTTTTTGTCTCTCCTTCTTCATTTCTGAAGTTCTGCCCCACTGAATTCTGCAACAGCCCTGCAGGAAGGGGTGGGAGAAACCTTGACTCATTCTTTATGACTCATCCTCATCCCTACTACAATCCCACCTGGGACTTGAGGCCCTGGGTGCTCCTAGCACCCATCCCACTCCCTCCAACTCCTTCCCACCTAAGCAATCCAAACTTACAGCCTTCAAATGCCCCTGACACCTAGGAAGGGGGACACCAGCTGGGGTCAAGCTGGGTCCCAGGCTCCTACAGGCCAGGCTCAATGCTGCCTGTAGAGGCTTCTCTGACAGGATCACTACCTTCCTCCCCTCAGCCTACCCACCTTTCAAGGCCTTGTCCAGGTTCCACATGCCCTGGGAAGGAAGCCTTTCCCAACTAGCCCTCAATCAATCTCCTTCCTGAGTTGTGACGGCCCCAGCTGTAGCACCAAGATATTACTGAACAGGGTGGGACTATAGGTTTCACAACAGCCTTGTGAGGCTGACTGGGGGCATCATTCTCTCTGTTTTACACAGATGGAAACTGGGACTCAGAGGAGGAGAAGGGACTTGACCAAGGTCATACAGCAAGGTAGTGTTGGTGGGCTCTTGACTCCCAACCCATTATACTAGCCTGAGAATAATAAAGGTAGTGCTCAGGTAGAGTTAGAAGTGGTCTTTTTTATCATTACCACCCTCCTCACCCCCAACAATGTCTTGGGTTCCATTATCTGGGTTCAACAATTGTGAGCTGGGTAAGCCCAACAGAAAGCACTGCATGAGGGGAGAAGAGGATGAGGATATGTGGTATACAAGCCAGGTGTGTGTTCAAGGTGTGTTTACAATGAAAACAAATGTTTTCATGAATAAACAGAGAAACAAGACTGGGTTGGGCCTCTCCCCACCCCCTCCCAATATGCCTTCAAGCTTTTGCTCACTTCTTCCTGAGCCCCACTTCTTTCTCCTTTTCCTCATTCTTCTCCTTTCTTCTACTCTAGGATGTCTTCCCCAATCACCCCCTTCAAGAAGTAAGCCCACCTCCCTCAGCATCATGATTGAGTACTTGATTGGCCTTTGTTATTTTCTTCAAGGGAAATAAGGCACAGAACCACAGATTCAGAGACAGAAGACATCTAAGGTCTTGTACACATACAATCGTCCCTGGCCACCCAAGTTCACACCCTCAGAGGCATCTTCGATTCTTCTCTCTCCCTCACTCCACCACCTTCAGTCAGTTATCTCCACCCTTGTTCAACTGGTCTTCTATCATAGCCTCCTAACTGGCTTCCTCGCCCCTGGTCTCTCCCCTTTCCAATCATCCACAGAGATCAGAGAATCATCGATTCAGAACAATAAGGAACCCTGGAGATCATCTGGTCCCAGCCCTTCTTTTCCAACCATCAAAGAGGCTGAAGCTCAGAGGAATCAAGGGCATAAGGTCACACAGGTATCAGAGCTGACCCCAGCTCATGGGAATTCAAATCTAGTCCTTTTGCTGGTACATACGCCCCTAACAAGTCTCTCTTCTGAAGGCACAAGTCTGACCGGGTTCCTTCCTCACCAAACAAGCCTTCAGAAGCTTCCCATTTCTGACAGGATAAAATATAAACTCCTTGGCCTGGACTGTAAGCCCCTTCACAGCAGGGTTCTCATGCATCATTCCTGCCTTATTTCACAGTCCTCCCTCCTTTGCAGACTCATATTCCAGCCAAGATAAACTACCAGCAAGTCTTCAAATTCCACCTCCTGCCTATCACCTTTGTGCACTGGCAGAAACCTAGAACAGATGCCCTCTCCCACAGAATGTTTTAGAGTTGGAAAAGGTCTTGGTGGCCATCTACTCTGACACAAGAGTTAGAGAAATCCCCACTGTTGCTGCTGTTCAGTTGTGTCTGACTCTTTGTGACTTCATTTGGGGTTTTCTTGGCAAAGATACTGGAGTGGTTTGCCATTTCCTTCTCCAGCTCATTTTACAGATGAGAAAACTGAGGCAGACAGGGTTAAGTGACTTGCCCAGGGTCACATAGCTAGTAAGTATCCGAGGCCAGATTTGAACTCAGAAAAATGAGTCTTCCTGACTCTAGGCCCAGAGCATCTGTGTACTATGGCACCACCAACCTGCCCCGACTACTACACACCCAACAAGTGGTCATTATTCAGACTCTGCTTGAAGACCAACAAGGATGACAGACCCATTATTTCTCAAAGCAGCCCATTCCACTTCTTGGTAGTTCTAGTCTTCAGTTAAGTTGGGTTTTTTCTTTGTTTTTGACATCAAACCTAAGTTGCTCTCAAAATCCTTATCTTCCTTTAAGGCTCAACTCAAGGGCCCCTCCTCTGTGAGGTTTTCCCTGGCCTGGCCCTTCTTTACCCTCAATTTTCCTTACATTATGCTTATTTGCATATGCTCGTGGGCAGCTAGATGGCACAGTAGATAGAGTACCTGGAGTCAGACTCATTTCTCTGAGTTCAAACCTGGTCTCACACATTCACTAGCTATGTGACCCTGGACAAGTCACTTGATCCTGCTTGCCTCAGTTTCCTCATCTGTCAAATGAGCTGGAGAAGGAAATGACAAACCACTCCAGTATCTTTGCCAAGAAAACCCCAAATGGGGTCACGAAGGGTCAGTCACAATCGAACGACAAAAATATTTATTTGTGAATATGTTGTAATGTCACAGTACAATGGAAACTCCTGGTGGGCAGGGGATGAGTTGTTTTAGCCTTCGAATCCACAGTGCCTTGCATATAGGGGGAGGAAGAGGAAGAGGGACTGGACCTGTCATTTCACTGGCATGGGAACTACCCTTTGAGGAAATATCCTCTACTAATAAAGGTTGGCCCCTTCTCTGCAACTTTATAGAGAGTGGCCTAGAGCAGAAGAAAGTAAGCAACTTGCCCAGTGACAGCTGAAAAGTTGGCTATTAATAAAAAAATTACTTGAGGCTGTTAGGTGGCACAGTGGATAGAACACTGGCCCTGGATTCAGGAGGACCTGAGTTCAAATCCAACCTCAGACACATAACACTTACTAGCTGTGTGACCCTGGACAAGTCACTTAACCCCATTGCCTAACACCCCCCCCAAAAAATGCTTGTTGATGGACAGCCAGTATGTGGCAGAGATGAGACGGGAACCCAGATCTTCTTGGCACCTAAGCTAATCTTCCATCTCATAGTCCACGCTACTCCTCTGTCTACCACCAAGCAAGCATTGAAGAAAATGCTTGTAGAGTTGTGTTGTTGAGGAAGTGGACTTAGGCAAGTGCCTTTGTTTCTCTAGGCCTCCATAAAATAAAGGGTTTGACCTGGATGAGAGATAAAATACCTTCATAGATTTATGAATAGGAAGAGTCCTCAAGCATTCATTTAATCCAACCCATTCCCTAAAGGAATCATTACTAAAAAAACACTACCCACAAACTATCATCCAACCTCTGTTCCAATAAAGGGGCATTTGTTGTTATTCTTCAGTCACGTCCGACTCTTCACGAACCCATGGGGTTTTCTTGGCAAAGATACCGTGGTGGTTTGCCATTTCCTTCTCCAGCCCATTTTACAGATGAAGAAACTAAAGTAAAAAGGGTTAAGTGACTTGCCCAGGGTCACACAGCTAGTAAGTGATGAGTAAAAGATGATTCTTCCCGATTCCAAGCGTAGTCTTCTATCCAGTGTAACCTAGCTCCCCAAGCAGGGAATTTCCTACCCTCCCAAAACAAGTCATTCCAATTTCAGATAGTACTAATTGGTAGGAAGTTTTTTGATTGTTTTTTTCCTGGCATCAAGCCTAAATTTGCCCTTTTCAACTTCCACTGCTCACTGGGCCCTCTGAGATCATGTGTAGCAAGGCAATCCCTCTCCCACAGGGCAGCCCTTCAGATATTTGAAGATGACTATCACATTCCTCTGAATTTTCTTATCTCTAGGGTAAGTATCTCCAGTTCTTGCAAATGATCCTCACGTGATAAGGATTCAAGACCCTTTTGCAGCCAGGTTGCTCCTCAGCTTATCAGGGTCCTTCAGAGACTGCAGCCGACCTGAACCCAACCTCCTAGAGGTGGTTAGAGCACAGTAAAGAATGACTCCTGATAGCTGGAAGCTATGTCTTTCTCAACCCAGCCCAAGAATGCACAGACTTCTTTGGCTGTCATATGCTGACTCATTGAGATTGCTGTCTATTAAGCCTCCCAGATCCCTTCCAGATAAATCACAAAGTGTTGATTAACTAATCCTCCCTTGCTCGGTACTTGTGAAGTTTGAGTTTTTTAACTCAAATGTAAATTTTACATTTATCCCTATTGAATTTCATCTCATTCAATTCAATCCCATGCTCTAGTCTCTCAAGATCTTTTTGGATCTCTGTTATTTAGTATGTTAGCTAACCCTCCAAGCAAATTGAGCATGCTATCCATTCCATTATCCAGCCTTCTCCCCCTGCTCCGGAAAATTACCTAATGTTGTCTTTGTAAGTGTTCGGCATTTGCTTATAAGCGTACATGTTGTTCACCCTCTCTCCCACTCAATAGACGTAAGCTACTTGATGACAGGAACAATTTTGACTTTGTCTTTGTATGCCCTGCACCTAAGCACTTAATAAATGTACTTGTTGAATGAATGAATAAGGACAATTTTTAACAGATGTCACCATACTGAATACTCAAATCTCCAAACTCAGTGGAATGAATAGATTTCAAAAGATAGAGACCAAGTGGTAGAGACACAAAGGCATGTGGGAAAGGATGAAGTACATATCATCTCCATCATCCCATCTGCTTCTGGACTTGTTCCTCCTGATATGTTCTGAGACTAGAGAACAGGAGTTTACAGCACAACTGTTTCATTCAATTACAAAAAGCAGCTATTTTATCCACTGGCTCAATAGTCCATGGAACATTAAATATAAAAAAGAAATAGGATAGCAACTTGTCCCATGACTGTTTCTCTCTTAATGCCATCAAATAAGGTAAAAATGAGATGATAATAATAATATATGATGGATGTGTGATTTCCCTGGGGAAAGCACTCCATCTGCCCAGGTAGATCACTTCTC